GCTATTTCCTGAACTAAATGGGAAACGCAAGTAGAACAAGTAGAATGTTCCTGCTATTGCCAATGGTAGTAGCTGAACAAGTTTCATACTGTTTAATTTGTCTGAACTGAATCTCTTAATCTGTTAGTTCTTCATATTCCCTTTAGAATAAAGATGCTGTAAAAATCACCATTCACAGCAGGAATAATTTTTGCTGTCTCCCCTCCTTCTTCCCCATAACTTCCTATGAGTTTCTTTTTCATAAATAACACGCTTATGGACCAAAAGGGACCTCCTTTGCAGGGGGAAATACACAGAGAGGGGAAAGAATCACTACAGGTTCTCCATTTAGTACTACTCTCACAAAGACATGGTTTACAGAGATGTGAGATGGCAGTGTGAGCCCCTAACCCAGACAGACCTCCATTGTGTGCTGTGCTGCCATGGAGCACTAAAAGATTCCACAATCGTGAGAAATTGCAGTTGCTATATCTTCAATGATTGCCTTAGTACTATGGAGCTTCTTTCTCCAAAGCCTCAACCTTTCAAGTTATTTCCCCTGTAGAAGTACATATATTTATAGCTTAAAGACTAAGAACTGTGTGCAAACTTGGTAGTCCCCTAACAGGGCTTGTTAATTTAATTTGTAAAATATTAAATCATCTCTTAAATAGCTAAATCACATGGGCTACATTAAATATTCAACCTCAGAAATTAATTCCACCTCTTTTGTCTATAGTTGGCTCAGCATTTATCTTTTTCATTTGTTTGACATGCAAATCATTTGAAAAGGAAGTTTTTTCTGATTACGTAGGATTTCTGAGATAAAATATTTTCTGTTTGCTTATTTTCATACAAATACTGAAAATGCTCTGACATTCCAACTACTTCACACCACTGTATGGGCTTAAACTCTGGAATAAAGTGTGGAATTCTGAATTCAAACTTCTGAAATTACTGAATCAGCACCCTACGTGGATTTCATTTATGAAGGTTCACAAGGATTCATTGGCAGCACATTCCAATTACCTCTTTTAAAAAAGCTTAGTTTTTGGAATGTGTTGTGCAAATGAATAAGCATAATCTCAGAAAGACTGCTTCCCCCAATATCCTACACAACAGAGAAATAAGAGAGATAAAGATTCAAACTGAGAACATTTTAACTTTATTCAGATCCTGAATAAAGTTAATGAGTTGATCGTTCATTCCTCTACTTGTTAAGTCAGGTAACTATATAACATCTAAAATACTTGCTAATAGATTAAAATATCTAAAAAGTTAGAGTGACTCCATTACAGCGAGTTCATTTAACTTTGCTTTTGAAACATTTTTCAGCAGCGTAGTGATAGACCTTAATTTATTCCAATTATCTTTTGTTCACTTCGATTTATGAACAGTGGAGCTGAAATAATCAGCTCTTTTACTCCTTAGGCTTCTAAGAATATATTTTCATGAGTATTATACAAGTCATCTTTTTGCAGCTATCCCACATACTAATTGCAAATATCTATTTTTATGATAAGAATTGGGTGTTAGCAGCCAATTAAGGACATGATCATTGGTTGCAATGAACTGCTTTGGCACAGAGCAGTTCAGTGATTAAAATTTTCTTCTCATTAAATGTCTAATGCCAACTACTGAAAATACATATACTCGATTTTTAAAAGGTCCGTCTACAAATGGAATAAGCTTTGTATATACTTTCTCGAGAAATAATTGGGGGGGGGGGGGGGGGAAGACTTGGTATCTGTATAGTTTATAACCACTTAACAGATGCCACCCTGTTCACCCGTAAATGGTTAGTAGTTGCAAAAGGATTACATCATTCAGAGTTTTAGTTTTACAGGTGGCAAATGCACCTGGCTGCAAAAAGCCTTCCTTTTTTTCTGGAAAGGTCTGGTGTTGTTTGGAACTGACTTCTAACAAAGAGCAAATAGGTCCCTAATCAGCTAATTCAGCCAGTGGGTTTATTTCCTGTCTTTCTGTCTTTCAGTATTCACACTCATAAAATGCTCCCCTGGCTAGAATAAGCACCAAATGGCAATAAATTAAAGCTTTATATTCATTGCATCACATTCTACAGAAACACATGCTGCTGTTGAGGCTTTTTATTGTTGACTGTTGACAATTTAGATTTAACAGACAAGTTTTTTTCTTTATCACTACTACTTTGATGTATTTCTCTGATGCAATTAATTCAAAAACTTTCCTGACACATTTCTCATGTGGTTCATTTTCATTTAAGCAACAACAAAAAAACAACTAAGTACTTGAAGGCCAGACTTTTTATGAAAGGCAAATTCTTTAACAACTGAGTGACTTCACAAAAATAGCTCTTTAAAAAAATGTAAAATAAAAATATGGTTTCTCTATGTAGTCTTTTTTTTTTTTTTAATAGAATCAGAAGCTCAGAATTAGGTAGTATTTCAGAAAACTAACATAAGAAAGCAACTACATGACCTATTTAGACAGAATTCCAATTTCAAATAGATTGAGTTTGACAAAATGAGTTCTTCACTGTCTTTGGACTGGGCCTATTTTTCCTGGTTCCCCTCCTTGTATGATGTCTTTCATATTTTTCTTTTCCTATTTACATGAAAATTAATGTATTTAAGTATCAGTGCTGTTCTATTGATCCTTTTATAGCAAAAATCTGCATGAATAATTATATTACTATCTGATAGAATATGTATCTTGTAAATAAATGTGCTTGCATATACTGTATAGAATTATTTTACATTCCATTAAACAAAGCAAGCATTTTTACTAATTCAATGCAATTTTTAGTGATGCATTGTGTAACATTTTCAAAATGGTTGTCATGCCAATATTTATTGAAATGTTAACTGATTAATTTCCCCCCCATCATCTGACATCAGCGGTCAGTTCTTGGACTTTTAAAGACTTGCACACATTAATATAACTTTAATTCATTTCATATGACATCAAATGTGTGTGTGGAACAGGATGTTCAACAGGATGTGGAACAGGTGTGCAACAGGATCCCTTAGAATTGTTCAAGGAGACAACTGAAGATCACTAACTGCTGTCTTCTGTCAGTGCAGTCTTTGGCAATGGATTAGGGAGCTATGCAGGTAGGAATCACCAGCTGTAAATTCCCTTAAATATAAAGCTGAACAAAGTTGCCCTCCCTAGGGCAATAATTTAGTAATAAACATCAAAATCAATTAGTCAGAAGAGTAGTACCTCTAATGCTGGTAGTTTATGTAGTGTAGCTTCTAGAGTAGCTTCTGTTCTCTCAAAGAATTCATACTCCAAATGTAGCAGAATTATTTAATGGTTTTCTATGGCTGAGCTTAGGAACACAATGTGCATTTATCTACTTGTTTAAAGTGATGTGGCAGTAATGGTACTTAGAGTTAATTTCTATTCATACATATTAATTTACACATTCCTTTTAAAGTGCATATGGCTGATTGATAATTTATTTGTTAAAAGTTTTGTAGAAAACTAAAATTTTTCTTTTTCTTTTTTTTTGATATAGACTAGATTCTTCACAGGCACATATTTTAGAGTAAATTCTGGAATCAATTGTAAAATCAACCTAAATTTGATGTTTTCACTTTTTTAAAAGACTAAATCTTTTTACGGGACTAAAATCTTTTTGGATGGAGATGCATATTTATATATATGAGTAGAGATTTTAGCTAAACATGAGTGATGCCTTCCCATAACTGAAGGAAAGTTAGAATCATCCTAATTAGAGCATTTCTATAGATATTTGAACTTAGAAGGGCACAATAAGCAAGGAAGTTAATTATTTGCTGAGGTCATTTACACTGAAATATATCTGTGTCACTTTGCTAATAACCTAACAGTTCTAAGCATACAAAGTACTAATAACTATTAACATAAGATTCGGATGTACAAATCCTAAAAGGCAGAATTTTTCTACCCTACAGGTAGAAATGTTACAGAAAACATTAAAAGAAAATGAAATTTCATATGCCTACTAATGCATTTGGAAGAAGAAAAATAGAAGTAGATTTTCATTTAAGAGGCATTGGTGAAATTCGGAAAATATTTCTGCTTTACTTCTGTATTAAACTTTGCCCTCTTTTCCTCACACTCTCTTTCCTTGTCCCATGTGTCTCTAAAATCCAACTTGTTACTTCCTTACAGTTTTCCATACTTGGTATATTTCTATCGCAGCCAAAAGTTGTCTATTCCGTGGACACACAAATAATCCTACATTAATTGAGAGAAATAACTAAGGTCCCAAGAACTTACTGTGTTTTATAGTATGAATTATAGTGCAAACCATTTTTAACATATAAGAATTTCATCTACTCAGCACCCACGAAATCAGAAAAACTTTATGCATGCATCTAAATAGAGTTTACACAGCTTGCTTGTTTTGCACAACTTTACATTCTAAATAGTTTACACGTAGCTTGCTTTAAAAACAGATAGCCTGATTAAAAAAAAAAAAAAGAAAAAAAGAACAGAATTAGCAAGAGACTCTAGTTCAGAAAGACTTAAGTTATGTTTTATCATAATTCCTTTTAAAACTCCGTAAGTGTCTTTTCTGGTCTGTTTATCAAGAGAAAAACTTTAATGCAAAATATATATAATACAACGTGGCAAATACTATATATAAAACAGCTGCTCTGGTGTAGAAGAAATTAGGGAGTATCATTTCCAAATTCAGATTTATGCTCCTAATTTAGGGAATTATCTGAATGTTACAGTTATCAATTCCTCAAGAACACCCCAGGTGATATTACATCTCAAATTTAGTATCTAGAGTAATAAAATTTTTGAACGTTTGATGAGAAAAGGAAAAAACGAAACAACACATTCTAATAAATGTTTGTTCTGATAAATTCAACAGCCTTTATTCAACAAAACTCACATGAAGTTTGTATATGAAGAAGAGTCTTTCCAAGCTATACTAAAAAGGCATGGTATCACATTTTCAAGATTATTTTTAATTTGTTTTCTTTGGAGACAACATTATAGTTCATTTGTAAGTTAATTATAACTGGGTTAAAACTTACCTTATATGGGTAATGATGAGGGTTGTAGCAGGAATGAAAAAGTCATCTACTCTGTCAAACTGCTTTCCTACTGGCTGAGTATGGATTGTGTGATGAGAAACACTCCCACTGGCTTGTGTTATCACCTACATAAAGTAACATTATTACAAACAATGGAAATATTCCTTCAAAATTTAATCTATTTCTAAGTACATTCATACAATATTGCCTCTGTATTCCATCTACTGTGTTAATCTTCAGCTAGAAATGACAAAACAAACAACATTGAATAAAGCTGATCAGCATTTCATATTTCAGAGAATTTTTACATACCTAACATACCTGATCTTCATATTTCCTTTCTCTCCTCATTTTTTTTTTCTAACGGAGTCCATATTTATTCATATATATGTATTGGGTCTGGCTGGAATGTTAACTTTCCCAGCAGCAGCCCATACAGTGCCGTACTCTGCAGTTGTAGCTGGAACAGCAGTGTTATCACACCAGTGTTGTGTCTGCTGCTGAGCAGCAGTGGCACAGTATTAGGCCTTTCTCTAACCCTCTTAGGGGGTGGGCAAAAGGTGAGGAGAGAAACATCACTAGGGCAGCTGGCCTAAACCAATCAAAGGGATATTCCATACCATGTGATGTCACACTCAGCAATAAAAGGTGGAAACAGGAAGAAGAGGGGAGGGGTGGGCTCTCGTTTGGAAGACGTCGGTCCTCCTCTCGAACACCGGCTGCGTGCGTTGAGGCCTTGCTTCAAGGACGTGGTCAATCATCGCTCATTTGTGGGAAGTAGAGAGTAATTTCTTTCCTCTGCACTTCCATATAGCCTTCATTTATTTTGTTTGTTTGTTTTCCTCCCTTCTTTTTATTTTCCTTTTTTCCCCTCCCTTTCCCCTTTCCCTTTTTATTTCCCCTTAGTTAAATTGTTAGTTCATGGTAGTCTTTATTTAATTATTATAATTATTTCCCTTTAATTAAACTATCCTTATCTCAACCCGTGAGTTGTTCTTTGCTTTACTTCTCCCCCTCCTCATCTAAAGGAGGGGGAGTGAGAGAGCGGTTGTGGGGTTTAGTTGCCCAGTACGGTAAAACCACCACAGTCCTTTTTGGCGCCCAACGTGGGGCTCGAACCCACGACCCTGAGATTAAGAGTCTCATGCTCTACCGACTGAGCTAGCCGGGCAGTGCAACAAGGACTTGAGCTAAGCTGGTGCTCGCGTCCAGACATCCAACTCCACCTGCCTTGAGTGGCCACTTTGGCAGATGAAGACCTAATCATCAACAGTTCTTATGAACGTTTTCCAAGAAAGACCTATGGAATGAGAAGATACACCTGCCTATCAATCTTGTCCTATTAAATCCTTGTCCTGTTAAAAGACAAGGAATAATGATGAGGATGCTTGTATGCTAAAGTATGGGGATCTGAGTGTGACACAAATGTTATGGAATAAGGGGTGGAGGTTGTATTGGGTCTGGCTGGAATGTTAACTTTCCCAGCAGCAGCCCATACAGTGCCGTACTCTGCAGTTGTAGCTGGAACAGCAGTGTTATCACACCAGTGTTGTGTCTGCTGCTGAGCAGCAGTGGCACAGTATTAGGCCTTTCTCTAACCCTCTTAGGGGGTGGGCAAAAGGTGAGGAGAGAAACATCACTAGGGCAGCTGGCCTAAACCAATCAAAGGGATATTCCATACCATGTGATGTCACACTCAGCAATAAAAGGTGGAAACAGGAAGAAGAGGGGAGGGGTGGGCTCTCGTTTGGAAGACGTCGGTCCTCCTCTCGAACACCGGCTGCGTGCGTTGAGGCCTTGCTTCAAGGACGTGGTCAATCATCGCTCATTTGTGGGAAGTAGAGAGTAATTTCTTTCCTCTGCACTTCCATATAGCCTTCATTTATTTTGTTTGTTTGTTTTCCTCCCTTCTTTTTATTTTCCTTTTTTCCCCTCCCTTTCCCCTTTCCCTTTTTATTTCCCCTTAGTTAAATTGTTAGTTCATGGTAGTCTTTATTTAATTATTATAATTATTTCCCTTTAATTAAACTATCCTTATCTCAACCCGTGAGTTGTTCTTTGCTTTACTTCTCCCCCTCCTCATCTAAAGGAGGGGGAGTGAGAGAGCGGTTGTGGGGTTTAGTTGCCCAGTACGGTAAAACCACCACAATATATTATTAAAGTCTCAAGCAGTTAATGAAAACTAATATTTTTATTTACCTATTCTCACACTTGACCCTAGATAGGGATTATGTTTCTTAAGCACTGCAGTCCAAGTGAAAATAGAAGATATTATTAATTGATTCACAGGAAGCTATGCTTATACATACTCCCAAGTCTTGTCAATCATGAGGCAATTCGATATAGCACATATATATTTCAGAAGAGCAAGTTGGTTTCAGTTTATATATTTCTTAAAATGTTGAACCAATTCGCCTTGAATTTTCCTCAAATCCTGAACAGTCTCTGCAGTAAATCTTTATAGACAAGTAAAAGACAATTTTATATTAATAGCCAGTGTGATAATCATTTACATGCTCTTAAGACTGGATTAAAAAAGCAAAATAATTGATTATGGATAGTGTAAAGGAAATGGAGAGTGAAGATGATCACTAGCTTTAAAATAGGATATGTGTGACTCAATTATCAGTCATTTTCTTAGGAGGAGTGATAGCAAAACTGTCACAAATTATCTTGCATATTCACAGCTACTAAGAGTCTAGAGGTGCTAAAAAGGTGTTTTTAATCATTTTTTACTATTTAAGCCCTACATTTGAATTTCTCTTACTCCTTATGCATTTAAAAATAAATAAGGTCTCCATTGACTTCTAGAAAAAGGAAAATAAGTTGAAATAATTTTGAAACTATGACACAGACTATCTCCATATTCTCATAGGATTACTTTAAATTAGGAGAAGAAAGTAGTGAAAAAGAAGCAAATGCAATCACAGTTTCTTGAAATGTTTCTTTAGTGGCTGTCCCTAGGCTTGCCACTGCTCAGAGGACATGTGAAAAACAAAAACTGTTATTATACATCTGAAGAAAAAAAAAAAAAAAGGTGGAACTGTCTTACCTTATTGTACTTACTCTTACATTTTACACTTATTTTAGTGAAATACAAATATGCCTAAAATCCAACGTATCCTCTAATTAGGGGCAAAAACATCATAAGCAGCAAGTTTGCTCTCAAAAGACTGGCAAAACATGCTACTGTTTTTACCTGTATTCCATAGACTTCTATCAAGTTGATATAGTCAGTTCTGAGTAAAGGTATTGAAAAAAAATATATTAAAGCAAAGTCAGTTATCTTATATCTTACTACCTCTGCTGGGTCATCATAATGATGTTTAAAGGGAAATATACAAATGTCTCAATTACATAAAGATTCAGCCTATCTAGATTTCATAGCGTATAATCAGTCTGATCAATATACCCACCTGCAAAGTTGGTGAATTCTTTTCCATGTCTCCCCAGCTCAGAACCCAGACTTGATCATGTGATTTATCATAGTGTAGTTTCACTGGGACAGGATCTGTACTCACTGCCTGCAGCATAATAAGAGAAGAAATTCTTACCTTCTGTCACATTTTAAAAAGAAAAATAATAAATATGATTGAATTAAAATGATGGCTGGACATACATTTCCTGATGTTTTAAGATCAGATTTAAAAATCATGTTGTCAGTTTTTGAAATAGTCCTCTGATTCATTCAAAGTTACTGAATCACTGATTTTTATCCATTATGTGTTCTAATATTTGACATCAAGACTGCATCATATTGAGGCTATTAAGAAGCTGAAAATAAACATTTTAAATCAAGTAAAAATGTACTTACCTTCCTTCCCAACCAACCCTCTCTTCATACATATCAGTTAAAAGCTACACAAATAACTGGAAAATGGCTAAAAAGGGAAATTATTCTCAAACTACATAGTGAATCAACACATGTTCCTGCACAGTCCTGCATAAAACCAACACAATGTTACTGCAGACAACTCTGCTAAAGTGTATACTGTTGAAGTTGGTAAGCGTGTTAACATATAAATGTTTCCCAGATATGATTTATACTTTTTGTAGATGTGATCAGAACCAAGGTGTTTTCCCTACCACCTTCAGTTTTGTCTCCAGAGACTAAAAACCTTATAGGCTACACTTTCTTTTTTAGGAGGAAGACTGAATAATCAAAAGGGAGGACAGACTATTTGATTAACAGACATTCTGCATGAGGTAACAGTTGTGGGGATTACTTTTCTATATTCATCATTAAAGCAGAAAAAATAAGTGGAAATTGTTTTTAAGTCTCACTATTACCGAACAATAAAGCACAGCTTGTTTATCAGTTTGTCAGGGAGTGTACCAGCTGGCTAATTAAGTGAAGCTAATTTAAAGTAATGATGTAGATCCTCAAGATAACACACTAATGGCTGGCTGAGATTGCTGATGATACTTAACCGTACTCCTGAGGTGTTGGAAGTCACAACTTCATGTAAAAAAAAAAATCATTTTTTTCTTTTAGAAAATGGAAAACTAAGACAGGTTGCTGCTCACCAGATGATTTAAAAACAGAAAAGTGCCCCTTGGAAAAGGTCATTCAAGTTTCATAACATTTCCTACTGCAAATAGAAGACAATTAGTCTAAAATAATACTTTGGTGGCTGTTGTATAGTTATTTTGTTCAGGCGTATCAAAATTCAAGTTGGATTACTCAAATGAAAGGGCTGGCTCGTGCATGTTCTGCTTAATGAGCACCAGTTGTATTCTGGATTTGGGCAATGGCACTGCCTGGAGGAGAAGGAATTACCTGTGGAGTCATGCAAGGATAATGCAGGATAATTCCCAAGAAAGGACCAGACAGCAAAGAGAAGCTCAGAGTCTTGGAGATGTGCTTTCACAGCTGTTTCTAGCTATTCCAGGCTCAAATGCCACCAGCACAGTGTACTAAATGACAGTCGACTGAAAGATGACTTGAAGTCGTCCTACTTAAGTTTATGTTGCTAAGCAGTTCCAAACAATTACAGGTGACAGCACTTGTTTTCAAGAACTTACAAATTAAAGTAAATATTTTTCTTAACTTTAAAAGCTATGATTTAGATGTACCTGGCTAAATCAGAAAACCTATGAATACCTCCTTAAAGATACACTACCCATGTCCCTAGATTGGAAACATATATTGAAATTTAAAATGTCTATTCTAGTATCTTAGAAAAAAAAAAATCATCCTACAACCTAGTTATTTACATTATCTAGATGTATACATGTACACTTCTATATACATTTTCTTCATTAACTTTTATAGCATAAATTAATGAATGTAACGTGCATAATAGTACTTCAAACAAAAGACCATAATAAAGAAAACCACGTCAATATGTTTCCTGAAAAAAGGCTGTTCAAAGGTGACCTGGCTATTATTACAGTAATGGAAAAGCGATGCTATTCCATTTTTCAAGACTTTTTTTTTTTTTTTAAGGTGAAATGTATGTTGTTGTTGTTGTTGTTTGGCCCTTGATTAGCATGAAGGCTTGTGTAGTATTTGTTTTAACTTAATATGCCTTTTGAGGAGCACAGAAATAAGGCACAAAGCCTAGACCATTACAGATACTTGAATATTTAATCTAACTCCGTACAAGAACTGGAGAATCCCTCTATTCTAATCTTTGTTGAGGAGGGGTATACTTTTAGTTGGTGGCTAATTTATTGAATTTTACTCTATAGTTAACATGTAAGGTTAAGTATCTCTAGGCATACCATTAACAATACAATAAAACAATTAATAAAACAATTACAAATCTCTTTTAAAGCAAATTTGAAATGACTACTGATCAAACTATTCCATAAAACCTAAGTTCAAAACAGCTTCCAACTTTTTTTGTTTTTTAACATATCTCAGTAAGCTCTAAAGGCATAATATTGTCTCTCTTGTCATTGAAGTCTAAATGTTAATAAATGCAATTAAATTGAAATATCATTCATCAGTTTGACAAATTAAGATGACAAATTAATGCCATTTGGAGACCAGGGAAATCATTGCTAGAAATTCCAGTTCTTCAAATAAGAGGATTGCAGTGAGAATTTTTTTTCAGTGTCTCTTCCTGAAGAAGTACATCAAATTGGTTGTAAAAAGTCTTATTCTCAGAAAACCAATTCTGATATGCAAAGGTAAACTTAACTATATAATAACAATAATAATAATGATAAAATAAAAAGAAGAAAAGGAACAAAAATATTAATAACTTTTTATGTTTAACTTTTTTTTTTTTTTAAAGCATTTTATCCATCCCCATCCTCATTTGGAATGGCTAAGGTTTTCAGTGCAGCTATGTCTACTGAGTCAATTGATATACAAGGTAGTAGATGTTTAAATATAGATGTTTAAAGAATATAAAGTGATATGGATTAAAATGTTTTTGTCAAGGTAATTTTATTTAAAAATCACAGTTTTACTATTTATTCTTTTAAAATTCTATACTAATATACGCTATATATGTATAATATATATATATAATCTCTATATTAAAGATTTTTATTCATTTATTGGCCAGAGAAGGCAAAAAAGCTGAAGAAAATCTCTATTTAAGTATTTTTTATTTAAAATAAATTAGAGTTCTAATACAAACCCATGTTATATTTAACTAAAAAAACACATTGGTGACAGATGTGATGATACTATAAGAAACTCTGTAGATGTTATGTATAGTTTGTAATCATTTGTATGATTAAAATTTGAAGCAGAACATTCAATGTGGTATCAAAACCTCTATATCAGGAAACCTCTCATACAGGTTTTCTTTCTTCAAAGAATCAGAGCAGAATTGTTAACAATTTAACTAGCTTCAGAGCTTTTGCCCAGGAAATAATTTTATTTCAGAAAAAGCATAGCTCCGCTTTTAAAGCAAATTTCAAGAAGATTTTGTATGATCTGTAATGTACTCAAATAAAAACCAAACCAACCAACCAAAGCTGAAGCAAAACAACAAAAAAAAAACACAAGCCCCAAAAGAATGTTGACACTCCTGTGTTGAAAGCCTTTCTTTACCACTGAAAGCCAAATAAAACTTATCTTTCTGTTCAAGTGACACCTGCCTGAAAAACTAAAGACTATACTATGAAATATAATCTAATATAAAGAAAAAAAAAAGTGTAGTATGGTAGGAACACTAGGCAGAAGCCAAATAAGTAAAATAATTACATTTTGCCTTTTTGATATGCCTTGTAAACATAAATATTTTAAGACTTTAAATAATCTCTTCATAATCAGAAAGTAATTTAAAATATGCTGGATTTATAGCTATGATTTGCTAAATGCATTCTCATATGCCTTTGACAATTCAACAGAATAAAACCTGGCCTTGTGCCCCCATTTAACCTCACAGTACATTGACACCACTTATTGATATACACATAGATACCAGTGGAAATGGGAGAAAGGAAAAAAAAAAAAAAAAGAATAGGAGAGAGACAGTAAGAGAGAAGCCACAAGTAGATTGGTTATAGTATTTTATTTCTATAATGGCAACCAAACTTCAATTTTTATTCCATCCCAATGAAGCTACTGTCCATGTGAATTATATTGTGACTCTCAGGCTCTCTTGAAGCAATTGTACTGCTCCAAACTCTAGTATGTATCTTAGCATTGCCTTTACTACAAGGTCTTTTACAAACCATACGAGTTAATCTCTGTACCATAGCATCATTTTCTCTCTTTTAGCCAATGAATTATTTTGATTAAGCAGAGTATCTCCAATAATTTCTCAGAGGCTGAGAAACAGACAGTACTACCTACATGGAAGACAGGAATAGAGAAGTTCCAGATCACAGCCTCCGATCTTGGCTAAGCATGATCTTGTGTCTTCCACAATTACAGAAATTTCTCTATCTGAAAGTTTACTGAGTAACAGCCCTCCACCTTCTGTAGCCAACCTAACCCCCTGACCTTTCCTGTCAAAACAGTTAAATTCCATTATGATAAAATACTATTCTATACCTTCAATTTAAAGTGAAAAGTACTTCAATTCAGAAATTTTCCAAAGAATTACATTTCCTCAACTACTTAATATTTGTAAGAGGTATTTTTTCATATTGATTCTGTCCCTGCCAACTGACTATTCACAGGAATAAGTAAACAAACTGTTGTTAAATGTAAACGAGCTTTTTTCCAGATACTGTTTACTCTCGAACTAATGGCATCTTTTTTTTTTTTCCAAAATATAATGAAAAAAACTTAGACATCAAATTAGACATCAACTCAAAAATTAGAAATACCTGTACAACTTTCTGAGACTGTACATCAACAATAAGTACTCTGTTGAGTGTGGGCTGAGTCACGTAAATGAACTTGTCTTTTACATTAACAGCAGTTGCCCATACACACCGCTGAACAGGATCTCCATCAGCTTTGGGACAAACTTCATCCTAGATTTCAAAAGAAACTGAGAAAGTGTAAGAATCAGAACAGCTAATGCAATAGATAAAGGCAAATTAGAAAAATAACAATATTTTTTCTTCCCCCTTTTTAACTGTAAAATACAAATCTCAGAAAATTTAGGGAAGGAAAAAGGACAAGTTGACATCAGGACATATATTGAGGCTAGCCAAAATGCATGTTGTAAACAGTGCTACTCACAAGCATTCTAAGTGTAAAACATACTTCAATACATTCAGGAAGCATTAGCATTTCTGTCCTCAAAGGAAGGATGTGTGTTTTCTACACATGTCCTGAGAAAGAAACCCATTTGAAACAATAATACATGTAGAAATAAAGTAAGAAAAAAACTTTTTAAAAATAACAAACAAATAATGCATACAAATTAGATGCACAATATCTCATTGCTGTACTGAGCTTGCAACTCCCCCTTCTGCATCATCACAGTAAAACTGCAAAGAAATGCTGTTATAGACAGGGCTTACATCTGAGGACACAGCAGTAAGGCAGGTACAAGATGCAGAAATATAAAATTGGAAAGATGATTGTGTAGCTGGAGGCCAAGAGAAGAGGAGGAGCTGTGGCGCATGTTGCCACGTGTTATAGGGACAAAGCAACAGTAATTAGAGGCATCTGCTTTTCTGGTCATGTGGAGTACTGATCCATTGCATCAGAAGTTTGCTCGTGCTGTAAGACATTCCAGAGACCTATCACACTAGTCTTAAACCCCATATAAATCAATTGCTTCAAATTATCATTCCTTACCCCTCTGTCCTCCCATCCCTGCAAAAGGATTAAATTAAAACAAAAACAAAATTCCTGTTGACTTCAGTGAAATCATACTTCCTATTCCATAATTACTAACTCTCCTAGTTTATGTTCACTGTTTATATTTTGCAAATGTATTACTGTTCATCATATATATAGGTATTTATATCTCTGTTCCTATTTATTCTAAGTAAAGTTTTGTTTTTATCAAAATTAAAAAAAAATATTTGGACAAATACAATACCGTATTTAGAAATTCTCTTAATGAAATAGTATGATTTATTCCTATAACAGATATCAACTTTATGTAAAAACAAAAAGCTGAAAAATATTCTGCATGGAGAGGTACAACATGTGTCAAGGGTTTATTTTGTTGTTTTCCTGACCTATTCCTCTTTTCCCTCTTTATTTTTTTTCTTCTCATTGCAAGTGACATTTTCAACAAAATAAAATTATTATTTATTTTTAGCATTTATCTGCACTTCCTCCTAATTTAAAATGCTCTGTGTCACACATCATAACTGGTCACTGTGAAAATAATTATGTCAGCAGGTGATGACTTCAGTGGAGAAAGAACAGAAAGAATTGAAGAGATCTTTAAAAATAATTCTGTTTTTAAGCCTTAGACTCTTTTTAAATGAAGGGGAAAAATAATGTGACAGAACAATACATCATAGAATCACAGACCATCCTGAGTTGGAAGGGACCCACAAGGATCATAGAATTGTTTGGGTTGGAAGGGACCTTAAGATCATCTCATTCCAACCCCATTGCCTAGGGCGGTGACACTTCCCACTGGATCAGGCTGCTCAAAGACCCATTCAACCTGGCTTCAAACACTTCTGGGGATGAGGCATATACAACTTCTCTGGATCATGGATTCCAGCTCCTGGTTTCACACAGAACCACCCAAAAAATAGACTATGTGTCTGAGAGTATTTTCCAAACACTTCTTGAACTTCAACAGGCTTGCTGCTGTGACCACTTCCCTGGGGAGCCTGTCCCAGTCCCCAACCACCCTCTTAGTGAAGAACCTTTTCCTCACACCCAGCATGACCTTCCCCTGTCCCAGCTCTATACCATTCCCTCAGGTCCTGTCACTGTCCCCAAAGAGCAGAGCTCAGCGCCTGCCCCTCTGCTCCCCTCGTGAGGGAGCTGCAGGCCACCATGAGGCCTCCCCTCAGCCTGCTCTGCTCTGGGCTGAACAAACCAATGGACTTCAGCCGCTCTTCAGACATTCTCCCTCCCCTCTAGAAACTGGTCTTCTCAGCCCTCCTTTGGATGCTCTCAGATAGCTTTATGTCCTTCTTATACTGTAGTGCCCAAAACTGCACAGAGTGCTCGAGGTGAAGCTGCACCAGTGCAGAGAAGAGAGGGACAATCACTTCTCTTGACCGGCTAGCAATGCTGTGCTTGATGCATCCCAGGGTACGGCTGGCTCTTTTGGCTGCCAGGGCACACTGCTGACTCATATTCAATATGCCATCAACCAAAACCCCCAGATCCCTTTCTGTGGGGCTCCTCTCCATCTCATCCCCAAGTCTGCACATGTATATCCACAATTGTCCCTTTCCAGATGCAGAATCCATCAGAGCCTGGTATAACCACACTTACTATAACCCTTTGAGCTCGACCCATCTGCCAAGTGTTCACCCATTGTACTATATATTTGTCTAGCTGTATGGTGGACATTTTGTCCAGAAAGATACTGTGAGAAATGTTATTGAAAGCTTTGCTAAATCCAAAATGATTACATCAGCTGGCTTCCTTTGGTCAACTAGGTGGACATTTCCCTTGTGAAAAGGGACTTTTCCCTATGGTGGCTGTGACCAATGACTGCATATCCAGTACTAGTCAATGTTTTCAAGAAGTAGATGATGCATTTCAATGCTAACTTTTCCGTTTCATCAACATTCTTTGCCTGCTGTGCCTCTGTACATTTGAGAAAATACACTCAATCTTTATATGTCAAATAAGAAATAAATCAATTTTGAGCTCTAACGGAAGGCGTTTCTTTACAGAAGATCAATAGCCCTTGTTTGTTCTTATGTGGTTCTAAAACCTCAACAAAGCGAAGGTCTTTCAGAAATCACATTGATAAGGAAAAGTTACTAAACTCAGGTTCCATGGGATGGCACATAATCAGGACCTTCAGCAGAACTTAGACATATAAAGAGTAAGATATATCTTGCACTGCTAAAAAAGCCATGCACTCTCTAGAGAGGTTTAAAATCTGTTTTTAAAGAACAATAAGCATAGTGACAAAGCAAACTTTTTTTCTTAAACATGGCTAAAAGCTTTTCATTATATAAAGTGAAGTGTCAACATAAACAAGTATGTTTCTAATATTATGTGCAATCATCAGATCTACTGTCATTCGTCTTCTGTGCAACTGTCACTTCAAATGGAAGATTGTTCACTGATCTCAAATTGTGCTTTATATTTATTCTAAACACACCTTGTCTTAGTTCCATTCTTTATCTAAACAGATAACTACTTTTAGATTGTTCTACACATTCCTATTGTGTCCTCAGTGAACAATTACTTCAAATAATGTATCCTTAAATGTTTATATCTTTAAACGTTTATCCTGTGTCCTTTTCAGTCATCTCTCTTAGAAGCTCACCTTAGTTTTCTTCATTTTTTGATGCTGTGTGTACAAAGGCACATTCAACATACAATGTAAAAATAGCACCAACTCCCACTGAAGGAATTCAGGTTCCTCGCACATGGCATCATATAGATTAGTGTAAATGATTAATCATACCTCCCACTGTGGAGGTACACCAGGACAGAGCTATTTTCCTGAATCTGAGTTTAAAACACTGATTGAAATGTATTTCCAAATATTCTCTCAATGTAAAAGATTACATACCTAAATAACATTTATGTATATATGTATATAGATGTATGCATACACATATTTTATTTAAATTAGAAACTACAGGGCATGATTCTTAATACATAGATAATTAATAAAACTCAATCCTTCTTTTCCACTTCAATACAGCAAGAAGAAAGCACCATACTGTCTTAGATCAAAAGTAAAAAATAGAAAGAGAAAGATAAATTTACACATACAAATTCAATTTACTCATTTTAGAATATTGCTTTTGTTATAAATTCCTATAACACAATGCCAACTCTCACTCTGCTCCAAAATAAAAAAAAAAAAAAAGTGTTTCTCCAAAGCAAATATGCACCCAAATTCTCATATCCAAAATAGACTTTTTCCCCAGCAGCAGTGGGTTTATGCAGTTGTTTCCCTTCTTATTCATGTTTATCTAGAAGCTCCAGAAATAACTTCAATCAATGGTACCAAAATCTTACTTTTGAAAAGTTAGCAGTTATCTGATTAGACAGTTCAGATTTCTTTGACATTAGAAGCAATAATTCTAAGTCTCTATATTAATTTCCCCAGAGGTTGGGTAATTGGTTAAAATAATTTCTCCTTGAAATATAAGAATAAAACCACCATTTTCTTCTTCTAATTAAAATATGAGCAATTTACTTTTTCCTAATTCATTCGCTGAAAAAGCTAACATCTGATAGAACATTAACTTATTTCATTGCTTTTTTCACAGACTTTTAATCAGACTTTTGTCTCACCCTACATCATGTCAGCAAACGGAGGAAAATAAATCCTTACAGAAATTTTTTAAAACTAGACTGGGGCAAAATTCTCAGGAGAAAACACATGTTTACAGATTTCTGTGTGCAAACTCCTTGTTTATAAGTCTAGACTTAATGCAAGAGTCCTATGTGTTTTAACAAGAATTTGAGTAAATCTCTTTAAGCAGTATAATGAAAACTCCACCTATGCTTTAATTAGCTAATAGTAAGATAACATCAACCATTTACAGGAGTGTATCTGTCCAGGTTTGAATTTATACATCACCTATTCCATCTTACAACAGAAAGTTGTATATGATGAACATACTTGTTATTCAACAGTGAAAATCACTGTGGACTTTTTTCATTTTTTTTCCTCAACAATTATGCATTTACTACACTTTCTGTGTCACAAGAGTGTAAATATGTAAACAAAAGAAATTTCTGTGGACTAATTACTGTGTCTCAAGTTTACATCCAGTGGAAACTTTGCTCTGGCACATAGTAACATTTTGAATATTATCATGAAATTAAGCATTCTGTTCCAACCTTTAGCACATATTCAACTTCAAATATTAGAAGTCTCAGTTTATTCAAACACATATCTATTTTATTCTGAAATATGGCCACGATGTGTTAGTTCTTGTAATAAAAAGGGAATCAGAATTATGCTGAACCCAGAATGATTTTTCTATCAATCTCAACATTTTTAAATTGCCTTCCCCCACCCTTCCCCAATTATTTTAATTGGAGGGTAAAATAAAAACACTGTTGCATAAGAATTAGAATTCAAGGGCTTTGGATAATATTAATTTGCAGAATATAAATAGAGGTTCCATATTAGTAAGGAATATGCCCCAAACACTTCAGAATGAGAATACATTTAACTGCTGAGAAGCTGTACTTGGAGCATGGATAAGAATCTATTTGACAACAGTTTAAACAGAATTGTCAATATTAGCCCAATAAAAGTCACCTTTCATTTGGTACTTACTTGGAATATTCCAGTAATTTAAATGATTCTGAGAAGGAGTGGAGGAAGCTCTTTATAACTTCCTGTGAACCAAGATGATCCAGTAAAGTGCTAAATCTTTTCCTTCACTTTAAACACAATAAAAGTCTAATTGATTCCCATGTTAGGCACACACTAAAGTGCTTCACTGTATTGACACTCAGTTGCATAAGAGGCAATTAAATATTTAGATAAGAGTTCTCAAGTATATCGTTATTGAGAAATTGTATTTACCTTAGGAAAATTAACATAGCTAAATAAGCATGTGTAAATACTGCACCACTCATTCAAAACACAATGCAATGCCGTGTAGAAACACCAGAGTTCATTCTTTTACAAAAGCTCAGATAAAGGTAATTCTATTTTGCTGACAAGTAAACAGGAAAGCCAGAAAGGAACATTGCAGTATCATGTGTATTTCACTTCTAGTACCTAAACTGCACTGCAAAATTGAGAAATGTTTCTACACTTTAACAAATATTTGACAGTGATAGAGGTCTACTGGAGTTTTACTAATTGTTTGAGCAGCTAATTGAGAAATGGAAGAGTTTAAAGCAAGCACGAAATGATTTCCTATAGGTATACACCTATATTAAGAGCTAAGTGACACAGATTCTCTTAGCAATAGCCACCATAGATTTGAAAGGCTATATAAAGCAACTTAAAAATGTGCAATATAGCAACATCTCTGCTTATCAGTTATATGACAGTTGAAGAGAATTAATAGCAAACAATTTACAACACCAGCTCTTACCATTAAACAGTCACATACTGAGCTAGGTAAAAAATTGACCATGGGATAGAACTGAGTCATTTTGTTATCATTATTTAGAGAAAATGATTTTTCCAAAGAGGAAAATAAGACATTCTGCAAAGGAGGCAACGGTTATCTAAAGCTCCATGAGTTTTTTGGTTTGGTTTGGTTTTAAGTTATGTACTATTATATGTATTACTGTTAGTAATAGTATTAACAGTATATGCAAGAAATTCTTTTAAATTCACATTTCATCTTTTTCTCTTTTTCTTGCAAGAACAAAGATTTATTAACTTCTATTACAAGTGAAGGAAGAAGTTTTTGGTGTTCAGAAGAATAAGTAGAAATATTGTTGAATTTAATGGACAAAATGACATGCATGCAAGTACAAAGCCTAATTTCTGGCTATATATTTTACGACAAACTAGAGATACCCGAAGAAGCACAAGTCTACACCTACTTAAAAAATGAAAGCTGTCAAGTAGTCTGCTTTCCTGGTTTCTTTTTTAGGGATGGTTGGGGGAGGTTAATTATTATGCTAATTTATGTTTGAAGGCAACAAAAAGGAATTAAGTCTGACTTATCCATCCTGATTATTACCACATTTCAATAAAAATACATTTAAAATCTAGCCTGCACTTTAGACCGATAAAATTTTAACAGACTCCTTAAATAATCAGGTTTTGAATTAAACAGCCATAAAAAAGCTCTTTGGCTTATTTTTGGCTGTGTCAACCTAATTTCACTTAAGCTGCACAAATCAAGGTATGATTAGCTGTTCAAAGCATAATTATTCACACTAAAATAAATCTTGCTGTTGAGTACAGCAGCCTTTGACATCAATAATGTAAATTGAAGAGGCAAATTCCAATGAGACAGTTCTGCTGTTACTTTGTGCTGTTCTGCTGTGCTTTAGGTATTAGGGAAAAAACAAACTGTACAGCTCATGGGTTATTACACATGGGTTCTCATTTCAAGGTCACTCATTCAAATCCAAATAATGAAAAAAAAAAAAAGCTATTATTTTTGAAAGCTAATAGATCATATAAAACAAGTCAATGTAGTGACTAGTACCAAGTGTTCCTGTGAGAACATGCATCATGTCAGCTGGCGATTTGATTAGCAGTGAAGGAAAAACAATGAAAGAACAAATGGAAGTGGAGAATGCACTACTGCTTTTTGTAGTGATATACATAAAAGCTACTTCATAAATGCACAGGATTTGGTGAAAGCAACTATAAATCCATTGACAATAATGTTACTGAAACTATTCATACGAACTGTAAATTGGAGTCAAAGTATTGATCATCCTTACTAACTTAGTGGAGCTCTAAGGTTGTTTATCAGGATAAGGATTTGCCTCATGACAACTGACAGTTTAATACAGACAAACAAAATCCATGGTAGAATGATATAAACAAACATCCAGTGGAGAAAAAGAAACTATTAAAATAATTAATTCAGATATTATATTTAATAGAGTGTTAATCCTTGAGTAATAGAGAGGCACCTAACTGCATTAAAAAAAAAAAAAAAAAAAAGAAAAGGAAAAAAATAAAGAGAAGATACAGAGCTGTTAAAAGAAAGGAATGGGAGAAAAAAGAAGGAGAGAAAGAAAAAAGAGAAAGACAAAGAAGAGTAAGAAAAGCAGAGGAGATAAATTCAATCTCAAACTAAGACTGAAAGCTTGAATTTGATCAAAGACAAGACAACAAATTTTGAGTACACTATTATAAGTTATACATTAACTGAGAAGGAATATCTGAATTTATCAAGCAGATAACACTAAAGTAGCATTTCTTAATTAAAACTATAATTGAGAAAATACTACATGTAAATTAAAAACAAAACAAACAAAAAAAAAATCTTGCCTGAAAACCGAGGAGTTTTTCACTAGGCTTAATATGTCTCTGAAATTCACATTCCACTGGTTGTATTACTTTGATTCCATCTTCATAAAAAACATAAAACATGTTCCCAATTCCCAGACCTTAGGGAAAAAAAAAACACACACACATTGAAAAATACAAAATTAAATAATCACAAGAAAGAAAATCCTCATATTGAAGTAAAACCCTCATCATATTACTCGTATAAGATCAGTTTGTTAATGCGTATTATGCTAATACAACCAATCCTATGGGATCTTCTGCTGTAAAACTAAAACAAAGCTCTTATTCAGAATTTCAGTTTTCTCCATTGGTAAGACATTGTCTTTATGAATATAGATCTAGAAATATAATCTATAGTTTGACAGCTGCAGTAATGAAAGTCTTCTCATGAAATAATTTACATTGAAATAAAATGAATATATATTCTTCATGTATTCTTATTTTTCTTTTCCTGAGGGATAGAAGAGTTAAAATAATTTCTGTATCGCACTGAAAGAGAAGTTCAAAGCCTTTGTTATAAATCCTTGCTATATTTGACAGTTCTTTTAGTCCAAAAAGGAAATATTTTCTCTTGAATTTTATTGGAAAGCCAGAGCTGGAGAGAAATTCAGTCCAAATTTGAAATGACACAAGTATTCATAGAACTATTCAATCCTACGGCACTGTTGCTGAATGAGAGGCATGATGTAATGTTTTGTGGAGAAGGTGGGAACTAGATCATGCTTATGAATAAGAACATCCTTCCAAGTTTACCATGCACTACTTAAGACAATTGTTGATTTGCTATGATGAATGACTTTGCAGAATTTTATGAAGAGGAAAATCACCTTACTTATAAAATTATTATAATAAACTAACAACTAAACTGTGGGCTACAATGATAAAAAAGTAGATGTCTCCTGTGTACAGAACCTAAGCTTCCACTTGACATAACATTTGACATATGATCACAGAAATAAAACCCAGGAAAAATAAACTTGAGCCTGAAACTCTGCTTATTCTAAATTCCAAAGGAAAACCTATGCTAATAGAAAACATCTTAATGTCAAATAAAATAATGTGAACGTTGGGGGGGGGGAAAAGTGTGGGTTTGTGCACATATGTACCTATGTACATAGGTGTTTATATGTATGTAAATACATACAAATTCACAGTCTAAATAAGGTCATTTAAAAGACTGTAAGATGCATAGGGCTGCAAGGCCATGCCAAAAAACAGCAAGCTCAATTATCTTTGAGAAATCTCCTAGAATCATTCCCACGTCTGGTCAAGTTGTCCTAAAAAGAAGGAAAGAACAGTCTCCATACAGGGCTTTCCTAACTTTCTTATCTATTAATAGCATATCAAGGGCATAGGGAATATTTTGCAATATGTTCAGACTAGCTAAGGGGATACTTGCGTATGCCTTGCAGGTAAAGCACATACCCTATATAAGAGAAGATGCCAAGTTCTTTCTTTAGAAAGTGCCTGACATTGTGTTCTGTAAGAACTGCTGGAACTTGTAGACAAGTCTGAAGTTAAGCTGCCCCTTCTAGTGAACATCACAGATAGCTGAGCAACTGACTTACTGTATCTTAGTGAAAAATAAATATGTATATCTGGTTGGGACGAAACAAGGTCTTCCCTTCTCCCTGGACCCACTGCCCTAAAGTGTATTATAGTTATTATCAGAATAAGTAATACCAGAATGTGAGGAAGTAAATCAGCCAATAGCGATACAGTCATTTAATAAATTGACTCCTAAAATGTCCCCCTTAGTTGACAATATTCCAAAGCAGGCTTGCTAATTTACAGATAATATGTGTGCACAGCAGCACAACCCAAAGTTTTATGGCTGTATTCCTGGTGTCCAGATAGTAACATTCACTAAAATGTTCTTCAAAGTCAGTGAAAGAGACTCAGTAAGAAATGCCCTTTCTCTTGAGTCAGAGCAGCCAGTTCACATAAGGAACTTTACCTGTGGATCCAGTGACATAATCCCCATGCTTATGACCCCAAATCTCTTCCTTTGAGCATTCATCTACAAATATCTATATAAATATCTAATCACTTAGGCAAGCCTGTTCTTTACAAATACAGGAGCTGTTCCTCTCAGGACATCTCATGTAATTTTGCAAGCCCTCTCTCCTCTCCCTGCCTCCCCCAACATAAAATAGTACTTTTATAATACAGTTTCTCTGCCAGAAGAAAAAACAACAACTTTAAATATATTCGCTGCATTTAGACAAATGTGATTCTATGTTTAAAACTGGCTAACACCTTTTTGGAAAAAAGAACTGATGGTAGGTTTGGGTTTGCTCCCATTTGTACAGTGATACATTTATGCTTGTGTATGCATTATATTATTGTATTGCATTCTAAGGTACATTCAAAATCTTTTCTTACACACTCTTTTCCAGTTTTGTTCAAGATAAAACACAAGGATAAAAACACAAAGATAAAACACTTTGATGGACACTTTCCCAATAAGCAGAGAGCCTACCACACATTTGAAAACTTTAAGCTAAGCATCTGTTTATCAGTTTAACTTTTAACAGTGAAATTGTATGAAACTCTGAACACATCATTTACACTCTGCAAGGCCAACAGAGCAATGTAATCAGGCAAGTGATTGCTTATACCAGCTGAGAAACTGATAAAATAGGAATATATATATATAATATATAATATATATATATGTAAAACCAACAGCCTAGTTCATATTTTAAACATATTGATAAATGCTAAAGTCTAGTATGTAATTAGGCAAATGAAAACAAATTTTTGAATTCTTAAAATATTAATTTAAGAAACACCTAGAAATATAATTTGCAGCATGAATTCACAGCAAAACCTGAGCCATGTATAGTATTATCAATATTTCAAAGAAAATACTTGAAATATCTCCTATTCCTGAAATACATAGATTCCTAAATTAAAACTTTAACTTAAGATCCAGATACTTAGAGCAAAGAGATGAGAGCTCACAACAACACTTATTTTCACTTAATTTATGTGATATTTTGATATTTCTCCATGGTGACACTTTTTCTGCAGTATGAATTACGAAAATATTATCTTGTATGTATATGAAAATACCTATTTTCCCTAGTAAAATATACTTTCCATGCTTTCTATGCTTTTAACATCTGATACTGTCTGTATTTATATTTATTCTTCAGTCTACCACAAAACTAATCACAAATCTCCATTCCCTACCCCAACATTCACAAACCCCTCCTGAGTATGTAAAGAAGAAAACATTTTGTCTTGTTAAGAAGCAGGAAACTCAATTTTAACTAAACTGACAACGATTATCATTTTCACAAGTAAGAATGATTCAGACAAGATCAACAGCATATAAGCTGATTGGTGGGAAGCTTTATCATGTCAGCAAACAAAGGCCTGCATTTTAAATCTGAGTTTCTTGTTCTATTCCTTTGAGTAACTGTCTAAAATTTTTGATCAGTTTATTTGCTCCTCCTTCTCCAAATGGAAAAACAGTTCATAAAGGCACCCACATTTAAAGGATTATTTTCCACTACATTTTTTCTTTAAACCAAATCCCTCAAATATGGCAAGGGAGGAAGATAATTACTATAACTGTAGACTATGAGAAAATAATGAAACAACCTAGGAACAAAAGATGAGCATTTCATTATAATATAGAAAAATATGAAGAAAATATTTATATTAGTACCTTGCTCTCGCCACAATATATTTGCAACTGCAGCATGTAAGAGAGAAAGAATAGAAAAAATAAATGAACAAGAAAAAAAAACAGTACAAACAATAGAACAATTTTGACATAATTAAGACGGTTTAACCTCTGATTCATTAAAATATATGTACAGGTAATTCAATGGAAATAGTGAATTAACAATAAGATTAAACAAAGTTTTCCATGTCATGTGATAAAGTTGTGATTTACCAACATAGCTATTGGGGTTAGAGTAAACCCCACCACAACAAAGCTACCCCACCCACCCAAGTTATCTCCATTAGCCTTTAATCAATAGCACGTTTCGTAAACATATATTTATATGTGTTATTATGTATATCAATATGTATATTAATTAGAGGTAATATAATTTTCATCGTTTCCTTTAAGTACAACAGAACTTTGAAGAGATTTATTTCAGAAAATAGTTATGAGAGGAACATGAAAAAGAAAAATGCATACAAGATACTGTTCTGTATTGCTGTAATACAGCTATGCCACTGAAGATGACATTATAATGTTTGACATTATCTTTGGAAGACCACAATGGAAACTATAAGATGGTGTGGCAACTCTGTTTTTTTTGTTGTTTTGTTTTGTTTGTTTCTGTGAAAAATTAAGATGTATTTGACCACCTTGTATATAATGTTTGGATTTTAGACCTTTGAGATCAATGAAAACTAATTATGCCAATTTACTACTCATACTCTTTCTGCCTGGAAAGAATAAAAAGGATTAAAGCATAACTGTGCAAATTTAAAATATTTAGAGTTCAGCATGTTGTAAATTGTTTGAAATGCCACCACTGAAAAACAAGTGTTCTGTAATATAGTGATCTTAAAAAACAGAGAAAAATTTAAAGGAAAGAAATAGAACGCAGAACATGTCACATGGTAAATAATGAAATTGTGGTATTTGTTGAAACAGTGTTGCAAAAGCTAAAAACATTAATGAATATTGAAAGAAAAATTTTGGAAGAAGTAATGGAAGAGACATTATTAAAAACAATGTTGGGTGTTCAAGCTTGAGAGTACAAGCAGGAAGAACCATTATTCCTGAAAAGACCCAAACACTATGATTTTGCCAAGCATCTGCTGGGCACTGCTGCAGAGAGGACTGTAGCCTAGATGGGCTTTTTGCCTTGTGCAGTGCAGCATTTCTCTTGTTCTTGTGCTCTGCCAAAAGAGATAGATCATCAAATATATAGAGAGGCCCTTGGAGAAAGCATCAGTCTACTTTCTGACAAGCTCGTGATTCAGAGCTTTGGGTAACAGCCATTAGGCTTTTCTTCTTCCTTTTTTTTTTTTTTTTTTTCTCTCTTCTACTACTTTTTTAATCGTCTGCTGATTTTATTTCATTAATTCTCTCAACAGAGCTACCTTGCTATATTACCTTAGACACAGTGTCACTCAATTATCCCTTAATATAATGAGGGTGGTGATTGCTTTTTAACTTCAGTGCTTTGAAGTGTACAAATGAGAGATCCTTATATAAGTAAAAAGCATCAGTGAAGTGATAGAGCGATGGAATAAAAATTTTCACTTTCCCACTACATAACAGAAGAACAGCTCATTCAGATATGCTCAGTCTGTGTTCTATTTATTATCTTGAAAACAGCTTAGTCCTCACCTAATAGTGCTATGGGCATACTATTTTCAAATGTCATCCTTGCCTTTAATATTTGAACCACTACAATCCAATAAATTGCCAAAATCCAAGATGAATGCAGTGTGCCATCTTGTCACTTACCCAGGCTGAGTAGTACCCCTTTATATCAGGAGGCAGAATTTCAGTTGAATTGCTAAAATCAAAAAGGAATCAACGTATTTTAAATGTATTTCTCAATCACCTGCTTTTATATTTTCTCTTCTCATTCCAGGCTGTTACTTTCAGAAGAGAACAGCTTTGAATGAAATCTTGACTACACTGCTGAGTATGCATCCTCTAGATATCCAACTGTGTTGAAACTTCATGGTGACTGAATTGCTAACAAACTAGTATGGCTCTCAAATTTATACCCTGTGCTAACAGCACAAAACATTAGTATCCTTCCCACCAACTACATATGGCACCTTCTTTGTGACACCATGCATGCATATGCTTTTATTATATATAAAAGCTGACAGCTGCAAAGAGGGAATACTAAGGTGGTAACATTCATTCTCCTTTGCCCAAGTGTTAAATCTGACAGTTTGACATAAGGGAAGAGGAAAGAAACACAGAGGAAAGAGTTGAGGAAGGAATGAGAAAGCTCTACTTGCAAGTTTTACCATTGCTGTATGAACTGAGCACATATTATTCCCTTGATTTAACCCAAGTGTTTATAGAATTAGGGAATCATCACACAATAATTGAGATTGTAAGGGACCCAGAGAGCTCCTCTTGCCCAGTGTCAACTACAGCAGATTGATGAAGAAAACATGCAGTTAGGTTTTTAGTATCTCCAAGGATGACGACACCACAGCTGGGGTTGTGGAGTCAGTGTGCCAGTTTTTCATCACCCTTAATAAATAAACATTTTTCCTTATGTTTAAATGGAATTCTCTGTCTTTCAGTTTGTGCACAGTGCCTCTTGTCCTTCCAATAGATACCACAGAGAGGAGACTGGTTCCCCAATAAAGAAGAGACTCCCCCTATCAGGGATTTATACACATGGATAAGATCACCCATGATCTTTCTCCTCTCCAGGAGAAACAATTTCAGTCCTCCCGATCTCTCCCCATGCTTCTATTGCACTGGGGCACCCAGACATGGACCCAGAACTCTAGATGTGTACTTTTTCTCTGTATGCCAGCGTTTCTTTTTTTCCTCTATATTCAGATGACAGTTATGTTTTGTCTATACAATCTTATATAGTCTTCTTCTGGGGAAAAAAAAAAAAAAAAAAAAAAAAAAGTAAATTAATTTCCCCAAGGAAACCTGGAAGGTTTTCTTTAAAATTAGTTTTCTCTTCACATTGTGAGGAAAGAACCATGTAATTTATTGCACTTGAAGTCCTGTAAATTTAGCCATAAACTACTTTTTATCAGTCTTTTTTTTTTTTTTTTTTTTTTCTAGAGGTGACATAGGAAAGAATAAAAAGTAATTACAACTATTCAACGGTGTGGAACTACATAGCATCAAATGAAATGATTTAAGATGTGAAGTACAGAACACATTAATTTGTGTTAACGTAGAATGATATATATGGTTCTGAGCTATATTATAAAAAAGAAACAACAATTAAAGGGGATAAAAAGAGTGCTTAGCCTCACACTTACTCATTTTAAAATTAACAGATCAGCTGGAAGAAAAATGAGATGTTATTTAAGAGTGCAATATAAAATCATAAATGACTATCATCACTTCATTTAATACAGGTCAAGAAACCTCACATAGTTTTTAATCAGTCCTCTAACTTATATTCAAGAAAGATCTCCAGTCTTTAGACAAAGGACTTGGACCAGGTAGATCTGTAGTTGGAAGGTATGTTAAGGAACATATTGTTTAGCATTTGTTTAGTTTAAACCAAAATTAGCACCTTCAGTCACATCCTATACTCAATGATTACACATATTTACATGTATGTCCCCAAATTTAAAAATACATAGTTGTTGACAGATCTAAGTTTTTTTCATTTTAAGATGGAGGACCGGTATCTCCATCTGTGCCCTATGTCCCTCATTTATTAAAATAAATCTATTCAAACAATACACAGTTGTTAAATAGTATGGGATGTGTTTGCAACCTTGCAAGTTAGTGACCTTGAACTAGCTGTTCTGTTGGCCTTAAGTGTTTGTGAAGCTCATGTGTTAGGATGAGCAGCAGCTGTAAAGCAGTATGCTGTAGTGCCCAGCAATGCACACTGGTGGGTGTTATGACAGAGATAACTTTTCAGCTTGTCAGGTGAAAATATTTGCTTTTGTTTGTTATGCAAGATGAAAGCCAACACAGTAATGAGAGAGGAAAGGTTCTTTGCAGTGTGCTCTGGGAAATCCATCTGGGATCCATCTGATGCTACATGAATGCTGGGTGCCCTGCATTTATAGGGATGTAAAATTTACTTAATCTACATATATTCCTCTTTTTATTCTTATTTTATTCTTTATTCTTATTTACCTTATTGAAGTAACTATTTTATTCCACTATTCATTTACAGGCCTTTCATGAAGACATCTGGAAAGAATGCTGCAACATATCTCTCTCCCCCCACCTTGTGCAGAACAGGGGAAAATCCATGTTTTAGTGAGAGAAAAAATAAAAATGAAAAATTTTAAAGCATACTTCTCCATTAAAAAAAAAAAATAAAAAACTCTTCACGGTCCTTACATAGCTATTCTATGTTTTTATGCTCAGTCCTAGCCTTTGATTATGAGTAGCTAACAAAATCTGAAAGCCTATGCTTCATCCTTGTTATTCATTTTCTCAGTTGGCTATATAGTAACAGATTGTGCATTTCTCAGTAAACTTTGTCCTTAGTACTTCATGAAATTCTTCAGCAGAATTTAACAGCAGTACAGATTCTTACCCACTTTGTATAGAAACAATGACTAGAAAATCCCCCCCATTTCTTTTACTAAATGAAGTAGGGATAAGTCAGAAGCTTTGTCAGAGACTTTTGACATTCAGCTGTTATATATTATATGTAATTTCAGAATGGATAACCATATAAGACAAAACATTTCTTCACTCATACACCTGAGTCAATTTTGATACACATACTTATAAAAAGACTAACTATTCAAATCTTTCAGTAAAGCAATTTATGTGAATTGGTATTGCTGGAATAAATCTGTTGCTTGTCTTCATTTTTAGCTTATTGTTCTCTAATTCATTTTCTATAAACCTTTATATAGAATCATGCTGAATTCCTTTCCTATAGCATATTAACTCAATACAGACCACACTGGTAGGAAGAAAAAATGGCTCATGAGCTCAAATTCTGCCCTGTACTTGGAAGTTTGAAATAAAGTCATTGTCTATGATGCTGTCAACAAGTATAAACTTGTTTAGCACTGCCATAAAATAAAATGCCAGCATAAATTATCTCTGAGGAAATTAGGTGAATAGGTATCATTCAGTATAATATGTGACAGGAAGATTCTATTAAAGTTGCATAAAGCCTTTCAGAGAAAATTTAAGCCATAAATCACAGTCAAAAGGCTTTTAGTCTCATTCTCGAGTCAGTAGAGATGCCTGGTGGCTTATGATGGCCATAAACCTGTCAAGACAGTAGTATTCAGATCACATAATCTCTTACTAGGTGTTAGGACTATAACATTACATACAAAAAGGTACTGTGATAGAAATAGATCTATTTAATGGCATGGAAAAGATGTATTATTTTATAAATGTAGCCCCTAGACTCACAAGGCAGGTGATTTTTATACTGTTGTGTGATGAGGTGAAAGAATTTGCAGTTGTTTTGCAATATATGATGATGTCATAGGGGTGCAAACCGAGTAACCAAGAGGAAAACCTCATAAATATTAAAACATCATCAAGTAATATCAAATTACTGAAAATGCCTTAAAAACATTACTTGACATCTTTCTATCATGACAGCTGTCTTAAGCTGCACGTGTTTGTCTCAGTAAAATATATAGTAAAGCTTAAGGAGACATTAACCAGTGGCAAGCTAAATTGTGTTTTGGAAAATAAGATTTTGGAAAACATCAAGAAAATTAAAACATTGCAACAAACAAAATAAGACAACACACAAAAATTGTTTAAAAAATAATTAAGCTTTAAAGGGAACAGAACAATTTCATTATCGACGACTCCAGTTTGATAGGATTATGGTAAGATGAAATGGAGAAGAAACCTAAGCCAAACTGATGTATCTGTCCAAGTCTAGGAGAAATTAAAAAACAAACAAACAAAAAAACAACAACAACAACAAAAAACCACAAAACAACAACAAAAAAACCCACAACAGTAGTTTTACAATTATTTTACTTCAAAGTATTTTGCAGGGATTGAATATCATAATTTTAAGTACTTGAGTCACCCTTGGAAATATTCCCTTGTCTTGGACTATCAATATTTTTTCTTTCTCTTTTATTTCTGTACTGTCAAATTTTCTTCTTTAGATCTCTAGATTAAATTTATATACTCTATTCCACTAATTCCATTAATTATCCCCATGCTAGTATATTTTTCCCTCCTATCTCTTTCCAAGCTCAAAAAATTGTATATTTATACCTGTTAGCTTTGCATTATATTCCCTACTCAGCTAACATATTCTATTGTTCCTAACACCACCTGAATATAGCTTTAAAAAAAAAAAAAAAAAAAAAGCTGTCAGAAAATAAAAGACTTTCTTAAAGTGCATCTGCATATACTGCAAGCTAGAAAATGAAAAGCCACCTTCATCAGTTAACGCATAGATGCTACAGTATTGGAATAAAGATCCAATTTACAAAAGGAGAGAAATAGTCATCCTTAAGAAAAGGAAGTCACCTTAGTTACATTTAGCATCCTATTTTTATTCTATCAGTTGTTCCAGCAGCTTGATATTCCTTTACATCAATGCAGCAGCAAAGATGCTGGATAATTATTACAAATGGCTGCCAGAGCTAGACGAAAAGCATCCTGATTCCAAAGCTACTCAGGGTTTAAGCTGTACTGATATGAAGCAGATTTTTTTCAATGTTCTCGAAAATATTATTCTATAAATGTTTTCATCTTGTATTTTCAGAATGATAATTGAAAACAGAAGGCTGATTAAATATTTTTTACCTTACAAAGCAACGAAAGAGGGTAAATTATGTATACTCAAGACAAATACTTAAAATAACCAGGTTCAAATGAAGAACATCAAAATACCACTTAAAATCATCTTCAGGAGGTGTTTGGCCTACTGCTATTAGTATTGAACAAATTTTGAAATATATTAGAAAGTTCAAGCAGAGTACTAATATGTCTGTATATTAGTACTATATGCCTGCATACATGCCTCTTCTGCATATGCCTGCATTGCCTCTTCCAATCTCTCTGGATCTTAATGACTCAGGTAGATGAAGCCTAATTAGAGCAGGATATGTGTTCCAGACAAAAGAATAGACAATGCTCACACAGAATTCAATTAAGTCAGAAATTAAAGGATGAGAATATATTTATAGACTAGCTAGTGCGTTCTAATGGAAACCTAAGATCTAATGGAAGATCTTGTCAAAGAAACATTATTATTATTCTTTGATGCAATTATAAGTATGGTAACTAAAAATTAATACAGATGTAAACCACAATTTTGCTAAACATCTGATTTGTTACCACACAATTTTCTGATTAAGTATTAGAGTTATACAATGGTAGAAATGTACATATCAATTTAATTTAAAATTGCCAAATTGATTGATCAAAAAAAGTAATTTTTAGTGTCAAATTATTAATTACTATTGAAGAATACAGTGCTGCAATAGGCAGTGAGTCTCATCTTACAATTTTCATCAATGACTTGTAAAGAAATATAAAGTAATTTTCCAGTAAGTCTATGATTTGTTTGTTATGATAAATAATGGAGTTCCACAAAGTAGCCTGGATTACTCTGTAAAGTACATTTCTAAAGTAAATTATATTTTGACATAGACAAATAAAACTTTAGACATCCAGGGAAAAGCAATGAAGACTACTTAAGGGACAGAGAGAGGTAGGAAGAAGCAGGATTTGTAAAGGAGACCTGTTGGATAATAGTGCTTATGGTAAGTAAGCATATGAACATAAATTTCTGCTGCTGATTTGAATGGAAAAATATGAGAAGGGTGACTGCATGTAGAACAAAAAATTTAGGAAGTACGTATCTCTTTATCTAGAGCATTAAAGAAACATATAATACATTTGCTTCTGCAAACAGCTTTTCCCATTTTTTATTTTTAAAGAAAACCTTACCCAAACAAATTACGATCTACAGGCCAAAAAAGACCCTCCAAGTCCTATGGTAACTGTCTTATCACTGAGAAGCTTCTCATGAGAGAGAAATTAATTAATATTTAGTAATTGTACATTAACAGGGCAAGAATACTTAAATTGTCATTAATTTATGAGAAAAAAATGAAATTCAAAGGAGGAAACTGAAGGAAGAACAGAATTCAAAATGGAAACTGAATGAATTATTAAATGAATTATTAAAGCAAATTACCAAGAGAAATAAGGGAGTTTCCATCTATTTGTATCTTTAACTCAGGTACAAATGCATTTCTGGGAGGATACAGTTCAGGCAAACAAAGGATTAGACCTGTATTCAGACATATCAGGTTGCAATTTAATGTCTTGTGAAATGGAGAAGACAGATTAGAGCCACATAAAATGGCTCCGTCACACATAAATCTATGAATCCGTGAAAATACCTATTCTGAATAATCGAACTGCATCGGAATGAAACTAAAAACAGATTTTAAACTGCTATTTATATAACAAATGTGATTACAGTAGAGACTCTTTCCAACACTGCTGAATTCTCTCAGGTGTTTTTAGAGGATCTTTACAGTAGGGGAGATTCTGTTGTCTTCAGTGGGATTTAGACCAGGCCGTTAATCTCAGAATGTTTTTACCATTCACTTCAGGGGTCATCCAGCTATCTCCCAGACCAACTACTTCATTCTCAGTGGATTTTACTGCAAACTTGAGGGAAAACAGAATTCAGAGCACAAAAAAAGAGGTTTCAGTCTCTAGAGAATTAAAACACAGTTCACGCAGTTTAGATGCCTCTCTTGTAGAAATGGGATGTACAGCCCTATTTACCTTTATATTGCATCCCTCTGTTGACTACAAAAGTCATGACATGTTGAAATAAACATTCTGAAAAGCCATGTAAGGAGCTAATAAAGACGACACCAGAATACAGAGATAATTAGTATTTTTTAAATATAAATCTAAGAGGCTAATTAACAGAGAAGAGATGAATATGTAGTCCAAGAGATTTTATAGAAATGTTAAACAATGATAATAAATAGTTTCTAATTACAGCAAAGCAGTTTCATGAAACAGTTACTTTCAGCTTAAGGCCGAGTTTTCACAGGCTAAAGTATCTTCTCCAACAGAGATAACAAAATCCTAAAAATTCTCAGGCAAGGGGCCTGCTAGGAAGTAGAAGAGAGAGCTAAGACCATATCATAAAGTATACAGACACCAGGATGAAAATTCACAAGAGAACTGAGCTTGTTTAGCCTGGAAAGTAGAAGGCTTTGGGTCACCTAATAGCAACCATCCAGCACCTGCAAAGGTTCTCATGAATACAGAGCCAGGCTTTTCACAATTGGCTCTGCATTAACTGGTATCATTGGAAAAAGCAGGCAATCTTTCAATCACACAGGCCCTTCTTCAGGTGTGATATAGAAGTAACAGACTGCAAAGCCTGAAGAGTAACTACTGAGAGTTCAATTAGTTACATGGCATTTACAAATTTAGACCATATAAATTAACTTCTTTCTGCCAGAAGTGGCCAGAATGACACAAGAACAACTAGATACATTTTATTTAAATTATCTCACAATACATACTGTTGCTACCTACAACCTTTTTGACTAATACTCTAATATGCTGTCTTCCTTTAAAAGACAAGTTAAATAACAATGTTCTACTTACTAGAACAATAGCAAGTTCAGAATCTTCTCAAGTATCTCTCTCGTTTGTTTTAATTGGTCCTAGAATTAGGGTTATTCTCCACACAGATTTAAAAGGAGAAGCAGGATAAGATATGTACTGTTGCTGCATGATCACAGATATTTAATGATAACAAGGCAGTAAAGCAACTAGAGGCTCTTGGATGCAACCTCCCATCTAATACAGGATTATTAAGTAGCACGTAAGGTATCATTTTGCTCTTGTACTCCTATTCCTTTTTCCTCCCATCCAGTACCTTTCAGTGTTAAGTGTTCTCATTAATCCTTCCTCTTTCACCTGCTGCTGCCTGGGTCATGCCTTTCTTCCTCACATTATTGGCCTCTGCTTCTAACAATCTTCTCTTCTGTTGTCCCTCTCCCAGGACCCTTGCACTTCTTCAATTTTAGCCAGTCTTATTCCTCCTTTCCTACATGTCCTTGGATGCTACATGGAGGACCACTACAGGAGCCACAAATAGCCAAGAAGAAAATTATCCTCACTTTCACATCCACAATAGCTCATGGAGCAAAGAAAACGCAGTTACACTGAAAATACGTTCTGCTGTGGTAGTCCCACAGCCTGGGTCTACCAAGTGCATATGGCATCTTCAGAAAGGTAACAAACTCCAAGAAGCATCCACCCACTATTTAAATCACAGACTGCTTGAAGGGATGTTTTTGCTGTGACAGACTCTGGAAAAATCATTACTTTAATTGCAGTATATTTTAGTGACAATTTCTCTGCGTGAACCACCAGTATCAAGTCCCAGATTATGATGTAAAAGGTTTCAGTAAAATGACTCTAGAGTTTTTACTATGAGTAAAACTTGTTTTCTTCCTAACACCCATTTTGGGAGTGATTATGGTATATTAGCAGAAGCATTATAAATTCAAAGACGCAGCAAAACTTTTTATTGAGACAGAAAGCGAAAGTGGAATGTTTCGACCTAAATGGTCAACATAAAAAGAATTAAACTGGATCTGATATTGTTTGTAACAGATGTTTATATAGGTAAAGCCTATATAAACAAACTAAAAAAAAAAATCCATTACAATTTCATAAATCTAGCAAAAAGCAGGCACATATTTAGACACATGTTAAGTATAATAAATTTTAGTTATAAAATGAGCTGATAATATTGAAATTGAAGAAAATAATACAATTCCTCACACCTGAGACAATGCAAAAATGAAAACGTATTTTCAGAAGTTTTATTTTTAATGCACATTGCAAAATGCTGAACTGCTAAGGACAAACTATTGCTGAGACTGTCATCCATTATTACCATTTTTACCAATGCATGAAAGAGCAATGGTTCAGCATTCAGTGTTGGCATCTTTGGAACATATCTGAATGAAAAAGAACTTTTACAGTAATTTCCATTCATTTCCATCTCAAATTATCATCTTGATGATAAATCATTATCATTAAGGTATACTGACTTGGGAACTAGAACTCAAATTTCTGATGCTAAAGCTCAGAAGCCTGAGAATAAACACTACCCGGGCTCCCTTCCTATGCATTACATATTTTTTATTTTTGCTATTATCATCACTATTCCACAATTCACATAGGTTTGTCCTTCGCTTTGTTTCTTTAATGCTTATAATACAGACACATGCATTAGACGCGTATGCAACCAATGCTGTGAACTCTGAAATCCTAGCAATCTGATAATATTTTTAGGCACACAGATGAAGAAAATAATTTATTATTTAACAGTTTATTTATCCATAATGGCACTGGTTTTAATTCAGGCAGAGTTACTGGAAAATATAAGATTTTCTTTTAAGCATTGTTTACACTAGTAAGATTTATCCAACCCAAAAGGAGTGATCTAGTCATGTCCTTTCTGTTGTATATATGAGATTTTTCTCAAAAAACACTGCTGAGTTTTTCATATAAAAATTTTGGGATATGTTACAAACGAGATTCCATGGATAACTACCAAAACTTTGGCTTATTATGCAAGATAGCATTAATAACCCAAAGCATTCATGTGCATGTAGACAGTGGTTTGGGGAAGTGCAAATGTGAACATTTCCTTTTACTATTAATTGGAAAATAAAATACACACTACTAAAAAAAAAAAAATGGAACGAGTCTCTATGTTCATAATGTTGCTTATAAAGTTATCATCACGTTCAATGCAACATAATTAAAGCTTATACTTTAGAGGTCCACTGTAAAAGTTCTCACTGCCTTCTCAAAACCAATCAAGTCAATGTTCTGAAATGCTTTTATTTTGCTATGAGTTTTACCTTGTGTGAAATTTAAAAAGTAGATAACCTCAGTTTAACTGACAAGCTAGTGAGAATCTGTTCTGCTTTTGTTCCAAAGCAATATTCTATTGTAAGATTTCCAGAAGGGAAGCTTCTGTATTTCAATAAGGGAAAAGAAAACCAAAACAAACAAAAAACAAATAGGAATCAAAAAACACCACCACCAACAAAAACAAACAAACAAAACCACAACTTGATTATAAAAATAAATGTCTGCTTTATTCCCTTAAAGAAGGATAAATGTAAATTTATAAAAATATATCAGTTTATATCAGATAATATAAAATCACATTTACATCAGAGAATACCTTTAGAATGCAACTTCTGACCTCAACAGCAGGCATTGAATTGTAGTAGAAGAAAATAGCCTTGGGTTTAAAACGTGTGGGTGGGGGAAAAAAGCCCCAAATCCTATCCAGGTGGTTATACCTATACCATTCTCTTTCCTAATAATCCCTAATTTGATCCATGAACCAGTGTTTTGAGATAAATATAAAAAAAAGCGGAGAAGAGTTAATAATAAAACTGAGATTAAAGTACACGGGCTTTCTAATGCTAAGTTATCCTCCCTTCAAAGCAACATTTTTCAACAGAAGTACAGATTAAAAAAAAAAAAAAAAGAAAAAGAAAAAAAAGAGCAAGTACATTAAGTATCTATCCAAATTTAAACCTGTGAAGGCAGTTTATTCATTTAATTGTTATGATATCGATAGCAATTGCTCTTTTTCACTAGTATGTACCTTTATTTTCTTGCATGTACAGAAATGGGTTTTTGAGACAGAGTAAACAAATCACACTACCAGAATAAACATCTCCTGCAAATATGTGTTTCACCTCTATTTGAATTATATCACGATGCATCTCTGGACTACGTTAATTACGATCCACTGGTACTGAGGAAGCTATGTTCAGATGTGACGAAACACAATGACAAAATGCCTCCGTTCAACATATGACACAGAACTTCCATAGTAAAAGATTTTTGTAGGAAGGAAGGAGACCATGTCTTTTGGATGAAATTTCTTATGAATAATTTGAGTTACATTTGCTCTTCCTTCATTTACGTCTTTCATGACACCAAAGGCTACCATAACAGCTCCCAACTTACCGCTAGTAGAATGTGAAGCATTTATTGCTAGCAGTGTTCATTGCATGGTACGTGACTTAACAATCACGTAAAGTTGGCTGATGTAAAATTATTGCATCATATTACAATTCCTGAAAGCAGTATTTTGCATTATTACTGCAGATCATGTCTTTAGAGAACACAATAGTTTAGACTACTACAATATTTGGAAACTGGACAGTTGGATATAAATGATTTGTTGTTAAGGCCAAAAAAGTTTAACCAAACATTAAAAAAAATGCTACTTGTCAAGGTTTTGTAATTTGGCAACAGTCTCAATTCTTTTCACAGACTGGAAAAGGCAAATGAAGGTGACTGAGCTGCTTCATATCACCAGATTACTAGAAATATAACATGATCAAACAACTTATTTGAGCTGCCTTCTCAAAACTGTCTGAGCAGTCATTTTTGTGACACACAAAAAAAACATGTTAAGAATTTTGAAATGACAGTTATAATTAGTGTTACTGAAAGCAGCTAAATAAAGATATTAACACTTGGGCTATAAAAGTTTTCCCACATGGAGGATTTCCTTGAAACATTTAAAGCTTAATAAACCCATATGTAACTGAATTCAGCATCTTATGAGAGGAAGTGTCAGACTCGCAGTGCTATTAATTCTGCCTCCAGTATTTTCTGTTGAGTACTCATTACTGTTAAATAAGCTTCTAGATAAATGTGAGTGCCTTAAGTTAATGCAATCAGACTTACTAGTAAAATAACTATCATTTTACTATGTGTTACCAGTGAATATGTAAGTAACTCATTTAAAACCAAAGCCAAAACAAAAGCAGGTAAACTCAGGAATGGATTTTATGAGCAGAGGGAAGAAAGGGGATGGGAAAGAAGTATTAAGACAAAGGTAAACCAGGTTTATAAGCCCTGCTACCTTTTCACGAAGGATAAAGACAGACACTTTAGGGAGGTAGAAGAGATTTATTTGACACAGTGAACTCCCAGCTTAGTGAGCAAATGTTGTCACTGTTGCTTCACATTGCTCCAGAGCCATTGTTATCAGTGCATAAGACAGCATGGGCCAACTAGAACTGATCCGGACCTGACTGAGCACTCCTAGCAGTTGAGATCAAGTCCTGTGATGATGGGATGTCATGACAGCCAAGTCTGACTCTTGATACATATCAAGAACATGCAGGAAGAAAGACTACAAAAGTTTGTTTTTTTTGTTGTCTCCCCCCCTGCTTCCAGGAACCACATATCAAGTTTATTGTTGTTGTTTTGTTTGTTTGTTTTTTGTTTGTTTGTTTGTTAAGTATCTGGTTCCCCTTCCCTTCATATGCAACTAAGGTTGCATGGGGAAACCATCCAAATTGCAACAGCAATGTAAAAAATATGTCAATTCACAGAATGATTTGAAGATGTCATTTCACTTCTAAATAAACTTTTACATTACTCACTCTGCCTTCAGCGACTTTTAAATATCATTATTTAAACATTTTTAAAAATAATTTATTTACACATATTCATTTTATTCAACGTTTCATAATTTTTAATAGCAATTTCACATTTAAGTAAGAGTTACATGTATTTTTTAATAGTTCTTATAATACTTACGGGTCTTTCGAGCAGAATCTTCTACAAAAAGAGAAGAAATGTCTTCATCCACCCCTGCTTCGTTCTTTGCAATACAGGTATATGCTCCTGTATCTTCATAGCGCACATTGCTAATATGAACCTCACTGCCATTTGCTGAAAGAAGAGGAAAAATTCAACATACAGACATGCTACAGTGCTTTCAGATTAAACACTCAGAAGGCTTTCTCTGCTCATACTAATTAAACTGTTTTCACTCCTTACTTCATAACTTGGAGACAAGCCAAACTAATCAAAAGGTATTCAAGTGGCTAGTGTACTGCATACACTCATTCATCTGACAGAAATCTGGAACGCCTCCACAGATTTTTCAGTTTGGAGCCAAGTATCTGTCTGAGACTTTATATAGGTTTAAATGACTATGGTCCTCTTTTTTTAAATCAGGCAAATATTGTGTGTTTGTTATGTTGAATTTAGTCACTTGACACTCTATTACACAAGATAACCAAGCTTTCCATGGAACATAATGGGGTAAATTTTCAACATAAATAATAATATTAATAGAACTAATTGTTTTTAGCAACCAGAGAAACCTGGTTTTGCCTTCTTGTTAAGTGCAGTGTAACGACAAAAAAAAACATGCACACTGGAGTTTTATACCTACATCACTATAGAAGTCTATGGAAACTACCCTCTGTAACAGTTTCAGGAATATTTTCACACAAATCTCTGGCAAAGTAAACACAGATGGGTTTTACATGTGAAAACTAAGCATTTGCACACAAATGAGGAGTTGTATGTCAGCTTGAGTAGGAATGTCAACAGTCCAGGCAAAGGTCTTTTTAAATAATGTGATTGATTCAATGCATTTTAAGTGTGGAATACTTTTTCTGCTGTAGGATCTATATTTTAAAAACAGTTTTCAATGTATTTTAAAATATGGACCAGGAGGAACACTGGGTCATGGTATAACATTCTCTCTAGGCCATCTTTTGCCTGAATCTAACATGCAGCTAGTTTAACTCTGGGATTAAAAAAATCAGAAAATGCAATGGGATTTTCAAAAAATTATTTCATAAATGCAGTCAAGAAAATAGAATTAGATGTTTCTTGTTTTGAGAAGAAACTATGTTATTTATTTATCATAAATACATGATACAGAGGCAAGGAGAGGAAAAAAAGTGGAGAGGGGAAAACTTTCCACTCAAATCTATACAAGAGAAATCAATAGAATGCTGCTATGAAAGAGAAATTCACCAGAAAGAGTCCACCATTGTCTATGCATATTAGGAAGTCTATCTGTAAAACAATTGTTCACATACATCCCAGAGAGAGGGCCTTGAAATCACAGAGAACTCCATCACTTATAGAGAAGGTAAAACTCTCTTTACAGAAGCCGTTGCCGTCTACCTGTCCTACTGTATCTCACACTGCAGCCTATCCTCTCCTAATACATGTCCTATTTTTGCAGATGAATGAAATAAGATTTTGAAGAGAAAACTGACCGCACAAGATTTTTTTTTCCTATGGCTGATCAAATATCACCAGAAGGAGTATGTAAGAATGTCATGTTGGCTGGGCAGGTTCACTGAAATCTTCAAGCCCTGAAGATTCATAGAAGATTCACAGACTTGCCTTTAATGTTGTTTAAAAGTTAGGTTTCCTTTTAGCTGTGTTGGTTTGGTTTTGGTGGTTTTTTTTTTTTGTTTGTTTGTTTGTTTTGGTTGTAGTGTCTTTGTGTTCCCCTTGAGGTCTGCTGGGAACCCTCATATAAAAGCACAATCATTTAATATATTTCTCCTCCTGTACTTTCCACCTAAATTACCATTTACTGGTAATTCTGCCAGTTAGTACAACCGTTATTTCAATAAAGATAAAGCAGAGAAAAAAAAACATGTCTTCAGGAGTAACTGCAAGACATCATCTAAAATGTTTTAGCTGACTTCAACCCTTGTTTGAAACTATGTAAGGACAGCTAGTACAGAAAGGATGCAGTGATAGAGCATTTGGAACATGCAGAAAAAATATATACCCCTTTACCTTGAAGGGTTAGCTGTTTAGATAACTTCGGAGTGATATCAATTCCATTCTTCAGCCAACCAAGTTGTGGGTTAGGAATACCTTCAGCATGGCACCGAAGGCTAGCTGTCACACCTGGCTCCCTTGCCTGACTCTCTGGATAGACCCGGATGACTGGTGGAACTGAAGGCAGAAAACAGTTATGATTTAGTAGAGAAGAGTATTATCTTCATTTAAAAAAAATGATTATAAACAACTCTAAAGAGTCTTGCAGCTATATATAATGACAGTGCAATACACAGATGTGGTATTAGTCACATATTCAGTGACATTCAATGCTGAACTCTGTCACAGTAAATTCTGAAGCAGAAAGAACGTTCTGTGAGTAAAACCTCTTTTCACTGCCTGTGAAGTCAAAGAAAAGCCTGAATTCTAATTCACTAGATTTAGAATTGACTATTTTTTTTCCCTTAAATTACTTAAAAATATATTAATAATGTACAATCAGCAAGTTATGATGTGACATACAGAGATAATTGTCTTATTTCACAAAACTTTTAACACTTCCAATACTACATTTCCCCCCTAAAACACCTACCAGTGACCTATTTTACCTGTATAACACATGTAATCACATTTATGATACTTACTACCTTTTGTTTATACTTAATTATAACATTTTGAAGTCATGTAAAAATTCAAAGTCATGTATTATAGGTATTGACATGGGAAATTTCTTACGTTTTCTGGGAAACTTCTGTCTCAATAAAATGTATGGCTGCATTAGATATGTGCTACAGAACTACAGGAACTTCTGTATCTGATTTAGAGCTTTCTATATTTCTTTTTACTTTAATTAATACAATAGTCCTAGAATTAAATATTGCTTATTTGAAAGCCACAAAAATAAAAGCAAGTCAGTTTATTGTGTTATATGGGTTACTTGATACTGCGTTTCTTATCAGGTAGATCAACAGAATGATAATTATAATTCACATAGACAAGTATACGTAGCCATGTTAAAAAGAAATAAGTTCATATTGTATGTGCTTTATACATGTAACTAGATAACTGAATTTTACCAGAGTATCTCACATATCTGGATCTGAGGCTAATTTTATTTAAGTCCTGGTACTAAAGCATCTGATTTGAATGGTTTCTTTTTGAACTCTAGAGGTTCATAGCTCAGACTAGTCTTCTGAGTTTGTTAGCAAAATGTAAGAACTGTTGACATCATTTTTACAAGTTGTTGACATCAATTTTTACGATTACATTTTTTGCTGCTTACCAACTAAAAATCTGCTGCACACTACATCATTATTGACATATGACATCAAAGTGGACGTATTCCTATTAGTAATCAATGATTTAATAATCACTATTATTATTATTAAATGCTGCATAGAATTTTTAAATGAGTAATTGTTGATCATCTATTTAATTGCACATAGAGAAAAGTATTTTGAAGTTGTTTCTAAACAACAAAACAAAAAAAAAACAAAAACAGAAAGCAACAACCTGTAATGAAGGTTAAAGAAGTATGTTTCCTATTACCCAAAGTTTTGTTTAATGTAGCTTTAAAAATGTGGAATACTTTGCTGTGTCACAAAACACAGCTGGATAGAGGATGAATTATCAGTTGATAATGAAAGAAGGTAACAAGATCAAAAATTAACTGTATCTATTTTGGCAAGAGATTAAATATTTTCAAATGCTATCCAACTGTTTACAAGAAATATCCCAGCATGCCGTCCTATTACAGCATAGAAATTCCTCAGATTTCTATGCTGCAAGAAAAACACAAATGTACTGCATCTCAATTAAGATGTGAAAATCAGTATGTTGCAGGGATATTTTAATTCCAATTAGAGATGAGGGTCTTTTCAAATAACATATATAGAAAATTATACATCACCCCAATATGCCACCTACAAAAATATAGTAAAACAATGTGGAAAAAGATTAAAAATGTGAAAATTGTGGCTGCTAATTGTCTAGACTACCAGCTGAGAGCATGGGCATATCAAAAACAAGGATATAAGGTTGCCATTTTCTTCTTCCAGTTTCTGGAAGAGAATGCGCACAATATTTTTACCATACAAGCATTTTTATCTCAAGCCTGAAATTGTCACGCCTATTCTCCCTCCACCTCTTCCCAGTTTTCTCCTCTCTCTGGCAGGATCTGTGTGGCCTGTACTTCTGGAGTAGGTTCTGTTCCCTTTAGCGGTGTTCTCCCAGACACCTTTATATTTAATTTCTTGCCATATTCAGAATAGAATGGCTTGGTTTGGAAAGGATCTTAATGACCATCTAGTTCCAACTCTCTGCCACGGGCAGAGATGTCACCCACCAGACCAGGTTGCCCAGGGCCCCATCCAACCTGGTCTCGAACACTTACAAGAATGGGGCACCCACAGCTTCTCTGGACAACTAGTGCCAGTGCCTCACCACCCTCTGAGTGAAGAATTCCTCCTAACATCTAATCTAAATCTCCCTTCCTTTAGTTTAAAAAACATTCCCCCTTGTACTCTCATTATTTGCCCAAGTAAAAGGAAACTCTCCATCTGTTTTATAAGCCCCTGTAAGTATTGAAAGGTCTCCCTTTCAAGGAGAGGAGCCTTCTCTTCTCCAGGCTGAACAGCCTCACCTCTCTCAGTCTTTCTTCATAGGAGAAGTACTCCAGTGTTCTCATCATCTTCGTGGCCCTCTACGGAGGGATACTTTCCCTCTATTTCCTGCCATTTCCTAGTTACCCCAGCAATTCTGGTCTGATAGATTATCTACATGACTAAAATTTTTTTCAATATTTGCTTTGCATTTAAATGTTTGTTTTCAAATTACCCTAGAGCCTACCTGTAATATGCCCCTAGGAACTGTGGAACTGATGCATGCAGGCAATTGAAATATTACTGTAGTGTGGGCTCAGTCAGAAAAATTAATTTGGCATGACAAGCTAGATATAAACTCTTTGGGCTCATTTCAGTCACTTTTTTTTTTTTTTAGGTAACAGCATAAATATTCACATAAAGCAATTTTTAAGAACATAAACATTGTAATCATTACTGCTGACTTTCAAAGAGGTATATTCTAATGTCTTAAAAAGAAGCCTACTTTGTAAGGGAGAAGTCATTACACAGATTAAAAAGGGGTGTGGGGAACGGGACAGGACATGGAATCATTGTCTTTACCAGAATCATACATAATACGTAATTGGATGAATCCTACATTCAGTTCAACAAGCCACATGAGATTGCTGACTCCAAATATGATGAATATATAACTACTCGATACTTCTTACAATTGTTACGAAAACCCCTGAAGACTATTTCAGCCAGGTCTAAAAAATTATGAGAGAAAATAGACTGTTCAATCTGTCTGGAATCCAGAGAGAATGTATCTGTTTCAGAAAGAAACATAATATGTATAGTGAATTATGTTCTTCTACTGCTCTCTTTGTTTTGATTGAACTGAGATACTTTCTTTGGAAAAACAAAGATAGCAAGGAATTCCTCAGCCACTATAAATCACCGATTTATATCTGGTTGAGGGTCTGGACTCTTTACCTCAAGGTACTAAAAGTTTTCATTTTTTTCAGTAGGCCTTTTACTTGTGAAAATTGTTGTCATCTCTCTGCAAAGAAGTTGCCTTGTGTAAAAGCTCAGGGAGCAGGATACCATCATTAGTACATAAATAGAAAGGAAAATGACACATTTACGTTACATATATGTATATTCTTAGAATAGTTTTGAAGGCAGTCTTCCTTTTTGTTTATAATAAGGCTAATGATATTTTGTTTGCTTGCATAGAAACCTTGTCAAAAGTAAAATTCCTCAAATTATTCTTCGAAAAATTTAGGCTATGGCATGCATATACTTGTAAAATAGAAGAAGTGAGTTATAAAAAAAAATACTGAAAATAAGTCTAAAACTGTAATTGCAATCCATCTCCGCTTACAAAACATCTCTGCTTACAAACAGCATATAACTTGATAAGCTTTGAATTAAAAAGAAAACTCAAGCTTTCTGGGTATTTCAGCTTTTTCAATATAATTTTTCAAGACTTTTGTACGTCAGATTCATGTAATCCTCAGAAAAGTAGTAACAAGAAATACTAATAATTTTTAATACTATTCCTTTAACACTTTTAGAGAGAGATGGCTTCCTACCCAACAGTACAACAACTCACATTACAAGACTTTCTGAGTTTGTTACAAATGTTCTGTTTCAGCTAGTTCATTTGGATAACTATTCTCCTATAAATTTTGAAAAGTTGCTGTGGAAAAAAAAAAAAAAAAAGAAGGCTAACAAATTAGCAGCAGGGAAATGACACAAATGTTTCTGAAGTACAGATGACTCACCTCTGCATTTATGTTGTCCTATTTGTACCAGATTCTTTTTAAGTAAAGGATTTTAATGACAAATTATGGACTTGATGTTTCACATATATTACAAGAGACAATATTAGATATACATTTTTAGCTTCTATGATATTAAGACCAATGCATATTGCTGTCATTATCTGAAAACAGACTTCCTAATTCGTAGGTTTTTGAATATATGATGTCAACAGCACAAAGGCAATACCTGATGGCATGAATTTCAGTATCACAGGTATATGGAGGGGGGGAAAAAATATCAAACTATCAGGCTCAGACACTCATTATTGTGACCATTTGATTACAAAAATATTGTGAGAAAATATGGCTTTTGGTGGAGCTGAAGACTCAGTAGTTCCATGAATTAATGAGACCAAACATTTTAGTTTTCAGAAAGGGCATCCTGAAGACCTTCTATGTTGAATGACTTTTCCAGTATTCAATCAAGAAACACTTGTCTGCTTCTCTTAAATATATCAGCAGCGTCAGCCTCTTAAATGATATGTTATAGATGAATGCCATAGTGATACACCTTATGGAACTTACATTCTGCATACAGAATTATAAAGCATATCATGAGTTTAAAGCAGGGGCTTCAATACTATGTATGTGTTTTGGACATAAGAATGTCTGTTATGAGTTGGTCTCAGTATTTAGTCCTCAACATATAATAGTAAAAATTAGTTTTTGTAGGTAGAAAATACAATTGAGGTTAATCTTATTAGAGCTTGCCCCAGATAAAGTTTTAATAAAATAGATCAAAATTATAGTCACAAAAAGTCACACATAAAACTTTGATTTTTAAAAAATATTATGTAAATATTAATAATTAGCATTATTTAATGAAACAATTACTCTTGGACCATTATGGCGCTATTTTTTTTTTAATGTTTACAGGAAAAATGCTCAAATACCAATGTATAATATTGCTTACTACATTTATTTACCATATTACTTAAATAAGATTCTGAATTTTTTCACCACAAAACATGTCTTTTACAGCGCTGATTATCTATATTGTTTAAAGACTCCAAAGCAAGTTCATTATTCCTTAGGGATGTACAAGGCAATTCAAAACTTGTAGATTAAACAAATGAAAATCTTAAGTTTAATTTAAAAGAAAAGTAAATTAAAATTATATTTATATAAATATTTGCAAACTATGCGTATAGTATAAAAAATACACATTCGTACAAATAGACTCAAGAACTTTAAAAATAATTACATTGTTTTCTTTGAACCCTCACATTAGATCTTTGAGATCAGAGCCTCATTATCCCGTTAACCTTTGTCTGACTCTCCTGTTAATACAAGTATCATTATATTAATTAGTCATTATCACAGCTACAAGTACTGACCATCACTCCTGTGCTTAGGAAGATTACTACTCAGAAGTACAGATTTAAAGTATATAAGATCTGTTCACTTCACCAGAGCTTTAAATCTCAGTGTTTTTTTTAACTCCGTTTATCCACGTTATTAACAGCAAACAATACTATTGATCTAAGGGATTGGTTCCTTCCTGTGCTCCCCCAGAAATCTGCAACCAAAATGGTATGGAAAAGTACCACAGCTATCTGACCAGAGCAAATGTGGATGATTTGCTTAGACATTTTTTTTTATTTTTATTTTTTGTTGTTGAATGATATCAACAACAGCGATTGCATTTAGAACATAAAGGTGGTCTCCAAATGAAAAATACAATCTTCTGACAGATGCTTAGGCACCAGAAAAGCATAGTTGTCCTCCTTCACCTCTCCCAAATTATGTTCCGTAACATTATACTTTTACAGAAAAAAATTAACTTAAGTGGAGTTATGCCTCTATGAGGCATACATCACTCTACTGAACTGAGCCAAAAAGCTAAATGTGAAAAACACTAACATTTTAACTGTTGCAAATCACCTCTTCAGGACTACCAACGCATTGGGATAGGCATGAAAGATGCTGACAAAAATATAATTTTATAAATAGATTAGGTTATTACACATTAAACAGCAGAGGAGGAAGTTGGTCAAGGACCTCTTCCGATGAAGTTCATTAATAATTCTGCTATGTTTGTAGGGATTAAAACACAAGTAAGCTGCATGTTAATCTTCCCAGGACTAGTCAAGCCAGCATTTGCTACCTTTCTTTTCAAGTGACAGGAAACAATTCCTGCAGGTAAATTTGAAGGAGGAAAATATGATGATGTCATGTATTACTCATGAGGAGGACAGTCCATTTACAAAATGTTGAAAGAAATAAAGTGAAAAAAAAAATAAGATGGATAAACAGATATTCTAAGCTGATTTCCTTGAGAAACACAATGGCAGAGATGACATTAAGAAAACAGCAAACAAGCACTAAACATCAAAGTCATTTAAAGTGCGAAGGATATTAACAAGCAGAAAGTGTGGGGGAAAAAGAACTGTTAAGAGTGAACCATATAAAAAGCAAGTAAAATCTAAGCAACTGCATTTGGTGTGATTATCAATGAAAAATGTGAATAGGAGGTAAAAATCCAGCATGAAAATAGATGTCAGGAAAAGTAAGATAAGGATTAATGCAAGTGTCTAACAAATACAGAAACAAAGAGTGATAACAACAGCAGTGGATAATGTCCAGCTTCAGGAGAGAGTAAAAGAGTCTGTTAATGCAAACTAAACATGCAGGAGAAGACTGAATTCAAGCATGATTCTAGACAGGACATGAGATGACATACAGGTAGTTTGGTGTGTAAAGGTGGATTTAAGAGTCAAAGATAAATATGAAGGCTAAAACAATAGGAAAACACAAGGTCACTAAAAAAAAAAAAAAAAGACATCAAATCTCGCGATAAAGTATAGTGGGACCCTTGGTGAGTGGCTCATCAATGGAGGTTACAAGTATTTGGGAAAAAAAAAAAAGAAAAAAGAAAAAAGAGAGAGATGTAGGAAAAAGAGCCAAATGATGATGATGCTGTCTTCAGGGCACCAGAAACAACAGCAGTTGAGTTTTGTCCAAGACTGAGCATTGGCATAGGTTGCCCCGAGAGACTGTAGAGTCTCTCTCCTCAACGATCATCGAAATACATGCAGACATCATCCTGGGCAACCTATTTAGGGGTGGCTATTTAGGCAGCAGGGCACCAGATAACCTCTGTAGGTCACTCAAAAATTCTGTGATTTTGTGATACATAGGTCAGGAAAGCGGTCCATAGAACTTGGATCAAGATAAATTTAGATGTCCAGAGTTAAAATTCACACTTAGATATCAAAATTAAAAATGTGAATGTAGAACCCTAAAATCAATTTCAGGGTAGTGCATTTTTAAAATTATTTTACTAAATGCAACATTCTTAACATTCTCATTTTTCCCTACTTTATGCGTATAAATATAAAATACATTATTCTGCAGGCAACACATTCATAGGTGAACAGTTCACTGTGCAGAGGAAGTTGTCTGCACTATCTAACTCTTTTTAATTAATATTACTCATATAGAAGCACTAAATGAAAATGATTATATTTTATTATTTTGCATAGGAGAACAGTAAAGAAATATAATTGTATCTCATTTTCTGTTAAACTGTAATACTTTATTAAAAAGATAAAACAGCAACAACAACAACAGATCTGCTTAACAAAATCCAAATCCTAATCTCTTATGACTTGGTAATTGCAACATTTTTCCTTACCATTCACTTGAAGAATATGAGTTTGAAAGAGCTTATCATAGCCATCAGCATAGCAGGTGTAATTTCCCATATGAGTTGTGGTCACTTTAGTAATATATAAGGAGCCATCATCTCCAAAATCCTAACAGGAAAGATCAGAAACAAGGTTATCATGATTACATCTGTATCTCTATAATAATTATGCTCTTCATCTTGTTAACAAAGCTGTGATGCAAATATCACAAATACTCAATCAGAACAACCGACAGTAATCTGAAACACAGACTATTTTTTGTGAATGACAGAGGTGCTTGATCTTGCTGCATGTATTGGATCTGTAAAAGAAAATACACTTCTATTTTATCTATTAGCTAAACTCTGAAGTCCTAAGAATGTTTATATAGCTATGATAACTATTTGCAGAAATAAAGCTATTTTGGACTGGGTCAGATCTGATAGAAAACCTAAACCACTGCACAATTTAACAAGGTAAATGATATCCTGTAAAAGCATCGTCATTCTTTGAAACTAGCAGATACATAGAAAATAAAATTTAAAAAAATAATAATTTTTCTTCACATTTGAGTTAACATTTTTAACTTCATTCTCTTAAATATCTTTAAATGGTGTACAATTTCCACAAGATCAGAATGCAAAATTTAACTACCATTTCAATTCCTGGTTCAATCCTCAGTACAAGATCAATTAAAAAGACTGTTGATTTCTTTATTACTGTTCAAGATAACAGTGTAGTACAATCTAGCATCTGTAGTGTTGATATTAAGTACCAATTACATGTTATAAACAAGTTTCTATGTCAATTATTGTAAAAAAAGTATGGAATAATTAGACTTTTATTAGACTTTTATTAGACTTATTATTAGACTGAGTCCAATATTTGTTTTGTTAATTAAATCAAACAATTCAATACACCTGAAACATAAAACTATAAGTAGTGTTTGGAAAGTGACAAAGAACTGTAGACAGAGCTCTTTGAGACAGAATGGTGATATATAATTAGTGTTTTATAGAATAACTCACAAGCTAGAGTCACTGAAAAAACTTGTATCAATGCAGACAAACATGATTGAACTTAAGTCTTCAAATATTAACAGCAACAGAGAAGAAAAGATTCTTTTAACTTTGGTAAAAATGTTTGATGACACTAAAAACATTGCTACAAGTCCTGTTGTTTTCTTTTTGTTGTTGTTGTTGTGTTTTGTTTTAAATAGACTACTGTTCAAGTGAAAATGGCATGGTTCTTCTAAAACTAAATTGAGAAACTCTAATTATTTTTGTCCAAAAAGAAAGAAAAAAAATATTGAGCAATTACTTTAACAATGATTCCACTGCAGCTCCGTTCTGTTGAGAGCTTGACATTTAAGAACCATGATGTGTGTCATGAATAACAAGAAAAGGAATACAGAAGGAAAATATTCATTTGACAATGAATCTTTGCTTAGTCGTCTTACTGTTAATAAGAACAGAAATCCAATGGTGATTTTTCTTCATAAAATAATTATTATTTTCTTTGGGTTTATAAAATGCTTTGATATACTAATTCTTGTACACTATGTCTGTGATCATTTATCTGCTGTTCTTTATTATCAGCTCTAGAAAGACCATTGTCAGCTTTCTCCCCGCAGAAGAATGTATAGCAAAAGACTGCTTGAACTTGTGTAACATCATAGGAACTAGAGGCTTTGTTTGCCTTTTTTTTTTTTTACACCAATTTATTATCAACATATCGTTCTCTTAAACAACTTCTTTTTGCTTTAAACCGTTATCTGTATTCCAAAACCTGATTTTCCTCTCATCTATGGATCACAATGTCTCCCAAACAAGTCCTCCGTCCCTAAATGAAAAATACCTCGTTTAATTTCTTTTTCACTCAGCGTATGCAAACAGTTCCCTGCTCAAATCTCACTTGCAAAATATAACTGAAAATTCAGTTCAGAGATTAAGAAGTTCAGAAAAATTGGAAAAGCAGTCTGGATTTGGGTAGTCTGAAGCCATCGTATCTGGAGTTGACATGATTTCTTGTTTTTAAATCAGAAAATGTGATTATTCAGTAAAAGCGGACATAACTCCCTTGCAAAACAACAACTGCTAGTGCTTAGTAGTCCCAACTTAATGTAGTCCCAACTTAATTTTTGAGTTCTCACGAACCCAAAAATAGGAAATATTATGTGGTTTTGTGTTTCTTTTAATGTGTTGTTTTGTTGTTTGGTTAGTTTTGATTTTTTGTTCGTTTTTAACCCTTGTAAATTTTTCAGGCCTAGAGGATAACTTTCTCACCAGTATATCAGCCTCAACTTTTTACACAGAGGTGCAAACATATAAAACTAAACAGACTGCATTTAAGAGATCTATGAAGTGGTTAAGAACCTTGTTTGGAAATTTCACCTCTGTAAGCTCAGTTTCTGGCAGGTGATGAATTCTAAATTATGGTTCCTGGAATACCAGCATGCACCTCAACACTGGTACATAGGAAAAAGGTCATTTTCAGGCACCAAAGTTTAGATGCAAGTATGTAAGTTTAGATGCACTTACATACTTTCACAGTATTTATTTTGTGGCCCATTGATCAGAAATAATAATACAATCTTAAGATTGTATTAAGATGAAATATAATATGATCTTAAGACCATATGGCATTAAGATATTCAGCTTCTAAAGAACTTCCTAATATTAACCTGAATTCCAAAACTGCACACTTTGGAAGGAGAAAAAAAAAAAGTGAAAAAGATAACATGAACAATAACAAAAAAAAAAAAGAAACACAGGAATGAGGACATGAGACATGGAGATGTGCATTCTCAGTTATAATATTCTCAGGTGAGTTTACTGGGTCTTTAATAAATGTAATTAGCAAGCACTAAATAAATAAATAAATAAATAAATAAATAAATAAATAAAAATTAATAGCCCTTTTGATCCCATGATAACTTTTTTTTTCTGTCTTTGACAAAACTACAACAAAGAAGTTATATTGGTTATCTTTGTATTGATTGTTAGCAATATAGTCACTACAACACTGCTACACTATATATACACTATATAATGACAAGATTATATATTATTAATACACTATATAATGACAAACTAATTTGGATGTGAATTTTCCCCTTTTTCTAAAGAAAAATCTTGATTTTCTTATATGAAAAGAAACTTCTACCTCTGAGCTGATCAGGGAAAGAATTTCACCCTAGGAATAAAAATTTTGCTTTGGTCTGCTACGGAAAATATGTGCCAACAATTGCTGCCATCTAGGTATGTTCTCAAAACATTTTTTGGCTTGTAAACACAACTAGTACGCATTATCCCATTTTGTACACATGTCCACACTTTCTACATTTGATTTCAGTTTACTCATGAAAGTCCCAATAATAAAAAGTCACTTGTTTGCTTATTACCTATATGTTTTCCAGTAGTTATCTTCAACTTATTTATTCTGTGTGTCCTTGGGGAAAAAGAAAGCTTTTGAGGGTTAACTGGAAACATTTTGTAAAATAATTATTGATGTATTAGCTTGCCAGATAAATTCCACTCGCACTTTTCCTGTTGATGTCAATTTTACTCCTACTTTCCGAGTAATCAATTTCTTTGTTCATGTTGGCAGAGCAATGCGAGTCTGTGGTCAGCTATCACATGCCAGAAAAAAAATTTTACACAAAAATCTCAGAATAATTGTATATAGCACCAACATAAGTTTTTTAAGCTTTTCCTTCTCCCTTCAGAAGGAAGCAAAATCTGAGTTTCCTAAGAAGAAATTTCACATACCTTCACTCAGTCTCATATTTTACAGATACAATAAGGACAAATCATAAATTTAATGAAAATCAACTTATTGGAGAATCAGATCAACAGAAAATGGCATATCCAGTCAAATTTTCAAGAAAGATCACAGTATTATATAGTATATAGTTGTAATATACAGTAGAAAGCTTCAGATATCCTCACTAGTATCATTCTACTGTCAATACAGAAAAAGGGGATCATCCAGTGAGCAGTTCATAATGTCTTAGTAAATCTCTCATTCAGATTTTGAGAAAGTCTTTGTGCATATCCTAAGACTGTCTTACAAATGTTCAGAGATAACCTTTCATTATCTCTAATGAAATCATTATTCATGATATAAATCATGATATAAATCATGATATAAATCATCCTAAAATAAGATTTCATGATACATGGGAAGTGGCCATTAGTTAAATTCAACAGGATTTGTTCATATTCAGCAAACCTGAGAAAAGATTCACATTCCTCTTACTCTAAATGAAGAGAACACTGTACCTACTTACATAAATAGAGACGTATGATTTTTTGTTATTCTTTTGGATGCTGTATGGACTGAAGTTTCATTTCATGATGAGATAGTAACAGCTAATAGATGGTAGCATACATTATTCTGTGGAAAATCTGCAGCAGCTTTGTGCTATGTTGATTGATAAAAATGTTTTTGCTATCCTGAAAGCTAGTAAGTTTAAAAGTTCACTTAGAATCTGAAGACAAACCACACTGAAAAGTGCCATAAAACCCCACACTCTTGGGTCACTGGTGAGAATCACAGCTTCTTTTATACATAGTTACATGAAGAGAATTTGGATATTTTACACAGGAGGTATGCACTAGACATAAGCACAGTTTTGCCAAAGTACAGGAGCACTAGCAGCTAACTAAAAAACTTCACTAACCTTTTACTTCCTGAAAAATTCTGTAACTGTTATCTTGCTGTGAAGGTGACTGCTAATTTATTTAGACATTCAAGATCTCCAACTAATTAGATAGTTTACTTCAAACAGAAATTTCAGCATGCTAGTCATTTTTTCTATAGGTTCATGTTACCCACAGATATCTTTGGAATGACTCATGTACCATTTAACCTTTACTCCTTTTTAAACAATCAGATTTAAATGTTTCTCACATATTTCTCAATTTAACTTCATAACCAGTGACATTAATTAGTAATTACGCAATTATCACAGTATATTATAATTTCTGAAAACCATTCTATTTTTTTAATCAGCTTTAACTGTAGATGTATTTACTAAACTTGAAGCAAGACCTGCAAAAATAAACTAACTTTGCACTATGCAGTATGCTTTTATCAAATCACATTACAAAGCAATATCTGATTGG